CGAGCCCGGCCGGCGTCGCGACACGCGCCGCGGCCCGCTGCCGTCGTCGCCATCTCCTTCGCCGCCATATCCGCCACCAGCGTCGTCGCTGCCACAACCGCCACCAGCACCGCCACCACCACCGTCAGCCCCCGCCGCCGGCCACCCCCCTGCCAGATCTGGCCGGACACGGCACGGATCTGGTCACCACCACTGCTGCCATGGACAGCTCCCCCGGCCTTCGAGCGCAACGTGGGCGAGACGAGGCCCCGCCGCCGCCGTCCTTGCGGCCGCGCGGCTTTGCCGGCGCCTGCTCAGGCGGCGGCGAGGCGGAGGAGGCGGGGAGAGGAAGGCGGCGGTGGGCGCGTCGCTTCCTGAGCCGCCTGGGGGAGGGCGACGCGGGGGCACCTGTGCATTCATTATTATCGATCAGGGAATTAGTTAACTATCTTTTTTTTAACAAACCGGCACTTAGAGTATGCCAATTTAATTGAATATAGTAGGAAAAAACTGTACATGAATAGTTTTATACAGGTTTAGAAGAAAAGAAAGCGCTCTAAGGCACTATGTTACATAGTACTTTCGCTTCTGTCATGGTCCAAGTCTTTGCCTTCTCTTTGATCTTTGCAACCAAGTATGTTGCCGATAGTTCTTTGTGTCTAAACACTCCCTAATTTCGCTCCTTCCAAAACTCCCATTATGCCAGGAGGATAAAGTTGCACAAGCCTTTCTTTGGTACCTCTGGGGTAGAGGCTAGATCCATCCACCACTCATGGACCGTCACAGGGTTATTTCAATTTGATGCCTGAATTTGCTCGTGGGAGATCCAAGCTGATATTGATCCCCAAATTCTCTGTGTACCTGTATTTCACTATTAGGTGTAGGGCTATCTTCAGAGTATACCGGCAGAATATGGGAAGTAGGCGTTGTTATGTCATCCGTGGGCCACGAGGTGATCCGACGTCTATACTATGTAACATGGTGCCTTAGAGCCCTCTCTTTTCTTCTAAACCTGTATAGTAAAACATCTTGTGAGCACCCACAGTTTTACGGTTGCTTTCTCGCCTGAACCCCACATCACAGTACATCGATTACGCCTTCTTTCTCCCGACAGGGCTAGTTGATTATCATCTCTTATCCAGTCTGCACGTACGCAAAGCTAGTGTAGGCAAGGAGACTCTTCCAGTAGTCGTTTGCTAGCGGTTTGCAGGGCAAGCACACGTTGCAGGCCGGCACGGCAGACTTGCGCAAATTGACGACGGTGCGAGCACAAGCTGGGCAAGCTGTCTCTCGTCTCGTCATGGATCTCGCTCGCACGGATGCCGTTGTCCATGGCATGAACATGAGACGGCGATGGCGAGAGGACGTACATGTGGGGATGGATAGATGGAGGAGACTGGACTGATCGATCGAGTGTAGTAGGACTGTACAGTACTGTGGTGGGGGGATCGAACAAGGATAATATGCCGGATGCCGACCTCATGCGCCACATGCCCACATAGCAAGCAGCAGGGTGTGTCGTCGCGGTCCGGTCCGCTGTTTGCAGCTAGGGGGGTTACGTTGCTGTCTGGAAGTACAGGTTGCAGGAAAGATCTGGAGAGGAAGCAGTGACAGCAGTAGCTTGGTGTGTTGCGTTATGCCAGGGGGCTTTGGAACTTGGAAGTTGAAAGCTCTCTCTGAAGAAGGATCTTCAGGTTAGTTGCAAAGGACGGAGCATATTCTTCCCGTACTGTGAGATTCGTAATCGACATTCCGACTGTACGCATGTTGTACTACTACAAAATGGAGTATGCGCCTAACAAATTGAGGATCTCTTGGCTAAGGGCCTATGTAGTTCGTGAAAAAAAAAATTTTAGGTGTCACATCGGATGTTTGACCGGATGTCGAAAGGGGTTTTCGGACACGAATGAAAAAACTAATTTCATAACTCGCTTGGAAACCGCGAGATGAATTTTTTGAGCCTAATTAATCCGTCATTAGCAAATGCGGGTTACTGTAGCACTTATGACTAATCATGGACTAATTAGACTCAAAAGATTTGTCTCGCGATTTCCCCCCTAACTATGCAATTATTTTTTAAATTTATATTTAATGCTCCATGCATGTGTCCAAAGATTCGATATAATGTTTTTGGGAAAAATTTTTGAGAACTAAACTAGGCCTAAGAGGAAGGTGATAAGTATCGAGGGTAGTATCATTTTTTATCTGTAGTATCATAAAATCGGGAAACTATCAGAATTTAGAAAGTATATACTTTTATATGGAATATAGAATATGTTGTATAAATTAAAGTATATAATATTAATTTTGATAAATTTAATTGGTTTTATGTAAACTTAACCATATTAATTCATATTATTTTGAATCCATCTTTTTATAAATAGTATTTTATAGAATCGTGGGGATCGTAGAATCGGTATACTACCTAAGATTTCGTATGATCGTGTGAAAAGAAAGATCAAAATACTATGAAAAGTAGGATACTAGATAGAATCAGTATCATTTTGGTTTGGTAGGATCATATAATATCATAAAATTGGAGCATACGCCCCACTGGCCAAACCTAAGATATGTTTAAAGAATGGGGGTAGTATATAACGGAATCCCGTTTTCGAATGGGATGATCCCGAGTAGGTATCAGGTGTGATACCTTTCAAGTATCAGACGATTCTACACACGTTTCAGGTGATACTTGCAAGTATCATGCGATACTTATCAGGTATCATGCGATTTCTACCACGTATGGCGTGATACTCGCGAGGTATCATGTGATACTTGTCAGGTATCAGACGATTTCTACCACGTATCGCGTGATACTCGTGAGGTATTATGTGATACATGTCAGGTATCAGTCGATTTCTACCACGTATCGCGTGATACTCGCGAGGTATCATGTGATATGCCTGTTAGGTATCAGACGATTTCTACCATGTATCGCGTGATACTTGCGAGGTATCGGATGATACCTACCAGGTATCAGGTGATTCCTACTAGATATAGCTGGGCATCCCGTTGGGGAGCATCCCGACTCGCGCGCGGCCGGCCTACTGTAGCCGTCCCCTGTAGACGAGGACGGCACGGGACGGCGCGGCGGCGGCGGGGAACGGCGACGGCGGCGGTGGGGGATGGGCGCGGCGGTGGTGGGGGGGGACGACGATGGCGGCGAGGGACGGCCGCGGCGGCGGGTGAGCAGGCCTGGTGCGCGTTGAGGGCTTCGGCCGCGTCGCATGGGTGAGAATCGTGTTGTGGAGGAGGAGCATCCCGTTGGGGGACAGTATCCCGTCCCGTAGCATTCCCGTTAAAGAATTCGGTCTGTGCTCTTGGCTAACCAAATCTAATACGGGAAATTCTGGTCATAAGGCCTCAGTTAACCGTTGACGGATTGAGCAGAAATATAGCACGAAACCAAGCAAACCTACCCTGCTTTTTTTATTAAGATATAGATATATATTTTGATTTCTGTTCGCATACTTTTTAAACCGCTAAAAAGGTACGTTTCGTACGGAAACTTTCTACATAGAAATTGCTCTAAAATATTAACTAAATCAATTTTCCAACTAGTAATAATTAAAACTTAATTAACCATTAGTAACTTTCTTTTTTTTTATGCTCTTACTTAATCTTAATCTTTATTAGTTTCAAGCACCACCTTATTTTCATCTTTATCCCTAGCTCGTCTTCCCCAACAGTCACTGGCTAAGTCCCAGCACAGTCGCACTCTCCTCCCATCTTGTGCCTCCGCTCCCTCCACTAGCTTGTAGGTGGCTGGCGACAATGCCTCCAGGCCGCTGAAGGAGAGTGCCTGAAGGAGGAGAACGACAACTACAGTTGTGGGATTGAGGAATTGCAGGCAAAATTTACTCTCAAAACATGTATCGAAATTGATCGGTCAGCTCGGCCATGACCGAAGACCGAACTATAAAAATGATAGAATATTTTAGGTTTTACGGTTTTATATTAAATTTCGATCTTGATTTTAGAGGCTGAAGTTTTGAGAGGACCGAAAAACCAAACAAAATTAATCGGTCAGACTGAATAACCACCCCTACTCACCCACGTAGCGATAAGAATGTGTGTTTAGAAATTGACTAGAGATATCTAATTAGTAGAATTTTCGTTAGCGCTTCTAATCTAAACTGATAAATTTGGTTTTGTTACAATGTATTGCCACAACGTAATTTTAGTTTTGCAGATATATATATATATATATATATATATATATATATATATATATATATATATATATATATATATAGCACTATCATGTCATGTTAGCTTGTTGGTCCAGGTGCATCCACGGTCTAGTACCATTATTGCGTAGTTAATGGACGGAATAGCTGCTAGTGGAGATGGGGGTGTACTTCAGCAGTTAACCCCCAGAAACGTGATTAGCATCGGTGCAGGCGCCCCTCGTGCTGGTTAACCAAGGCGGGCGCCCCGTACTTACCCGCGCTAATGCCGGGTTTAAGGAAGTTAACACGTGATTCTGGCACACGCGTCGGGCCCGACCAAGTGCGATGGGATCCGTTGCGGCGCGGTCGTGACACTTGGTGCCCCAACTTGCCGTCGATCTCGCCGCGCTGTACTTTATCTTAGCTAATAACTCTTCTTCTCCCCCTGGAAAAAAAAATTAACAACCGGGTTTCTTCCTTTGAGGCATTGATTTTTGGATACTCTCTCGCTGGCTGCAGTGCAAGCGAACCAGTGCACGGTATTCAAACAGTCTGCAATACCTGGGTAAATCTGAGTCCTTTGATTTTGATCTGGCGAACATAATATGACTGTTTAAAACTACAGTCACCCTACTTATTGCAGCTGAACCGTCAAATTATAGCTTCTTCTAGGGATGGATTGGGAATTTTCTTACATGTTGAGTTTTTGAACACCTGACTAGACGATCTCACGATATACTACCTTCGTCCTAAAATATAGTAATTTTTAGCTATGAATTTGGACACACAAAAATTGCTATATTTTGGGACAGAGAGAGTAGTCAGATAGTTTTATCATTCTTAAGAAGGTATATCGAGATGATGGTTTTTTATCGTAAAACTTAATATCTCTAGTAGGTGTCTCGAAATATCGTACAAGTCCTGCATGTACTTTCTTAAGTACCATAAACTTCTCTACAATTTAAGTAGGGTAGAAGCACCCCCGTTGAGGTGTAGCTACCACAATTTTGGGTTCCTCAAAAGTGTGAGGTCGATCACAAGTTTACACTATCTATATCTAGAAACATCAATTCAATATTTACAATCCGTATGGCGCATATGGGCGTACGGTAGCTGGAGTTGCAAATACCGAATTTTCTCTTCCGAAGAAAGTGCAAATTCCATTGTTTATATATATAGCTGTGTCCTGTTATCATTCCATGGCTCACCTGTTGAGCTGGTAACCCGGTTTGGAGTCATCTATAAAAGGAAGGTAAAGGAAGTGACATGCCAGATGAAGTATAGCAAGCTATCCTACAGCCAGCCACGCTGCACCGAACCCTCCAATCCTTGGAACTTGAACCCCTTCAAATCACACCCAGTAGGCTACTAGTAGTACTTCTCTGCACCAATTCCATCGCCAATAGCAGCCACTACAAGTCTTACATCTCTCCTTTCCTCCTCTCTCTGCCATTGCTAGGAGCTTGCATTTCTTGGTAGCTTCATCAGCTAGCTGCTTTCTCCCTCCCCAATCTCTCATTCTTCAGGCCAGGATATGAAGGTAAAGGCTCAAACCATCGGTGTGATTAATCATTTCAGAGAGGTTAATAGATTTGAAGTGTTGGTAGTGTTGATCCATTTCTTGATGGCATCATGAGGCTTGGGTTTTCTCTGCAGATTTTCAGCTGGGTAGCCAACAAGATCAGTGGGAAGCAAGAAGCAAATCGGTTTCCCGCAAATTCTTCTGCGCCTTACCGTGAGTGTACCTGAACTTTCAGTTTCCTTGTAAATTCTTTCAGAACTAAGGTGATTGTTGTTCACCAGGCTTCATGCTGTTCTTATGAAATGTTTCCCTGTTCCTTGAGGGGAGAGGGAGAGTACGGACAGTAATTTGGAAGCCGTTTCCTAATTTGATATTTTCTTTCTGTCATTCTGCTGCAGTTATAATGTCTTTACCTCTTAGCAGTTTCTGCTTAGGCATCATTTGCCTTATTCATTTCTGGATACGATGATACTTTATTGCTTTGTCCTAATTTAATCTTTTCCTGCTGTCATTCTGCTCCATTTATGGTGTCTTTACCTCTTAGCAGTTTCCGCTTAGGCATCATTTGCCATGTTCATTTCTGAATATGCTGATATACTTTGTTGTCTTGGTAGCCATATACAAGAGTGAACGATTTAAAGGTTTCTCCTAATTGCTAGTAACAGAACGCTTTTCGCTCTGCGATTTTCTGGATTACCATCCCCTGATTCCTGAGTAACCTATCACAACGCCAATGTGATGGAGCAAACATTGATGTATTATGACAATGTTGTTTCTGATCCTTTGAGAAAATTTTCTTATATGCACTTGGGTGTTGTTTGGAACGCAGGAATTTCACTGGAAACAGTTCAATTATCGCACTTCCGGAAAAAAAATTCCTGCATTTTAAACGGCGCTTTAAGTTCAGTAGGAGTTTTCAATTTTATTTTCCTCTTCCCTAGCACGAAAAGTGAGAGATTTTTGTGCATATGTTATACCCCCAAAGGACTATTTCATGGCCTGATGCCCGCCACGCCAATATCTCTGTAAAGCACTGCTTCCAACTAGTCAGTATGGGTCAAAGTCTTGACTAAGTGCAACCCTGCAAGCAAGTGTTTCCAACTAGTCAGTATGGCTTCAATTATTTAGTTGATTTATAACCCCAACCCTCCACTTGTGACCAAGAAGAATTTGATTTGAGCAGACAATATCCTGACCTCGGATGGTTTCGTAAATCGTACTAAGGAATCAGATCTGAGCCACTAGTCCAGCTGGACTACAGTACATTATTTATCTCTCAAGATTACATAAAAAGACTACTATTGTACAGAGAATGCATTGTTTAAGTGGTAACAACTGCTGTGATAAGTTATTCCTGGTATACAGAAAAATGGCAGGTGAAAACATCAGGGAGTGGAGTAAGCATGGGCAGACATTGTACTTAAAGAGTGATAGGCCAATGAGAATCACTGGGTGTTTAAGGATTAAAAATTTGTGGTCCATGCTCTAGACATCCAATTTATGCTAATATGAACTTAGGACCATATATTTATGTTTGTTTACTGATCTTGCGGCTTAATCGAGTTCTAATGCGCAGGTGCTAACGTGTCAGATTGTCGAAAGGATGAATTCAGTGATTGGCCCCAATCATTGCTTGCTATTGGGACATTTGGAAATAAGCAGATTGAGGAGGTAGCTCAGGTGGAGAATTCATCCGACAATGTGCAGTCAGTGCAAGATACCGTCAAATTTACAGAGGAAGAAGTAGACAAGATACGGAAAGAATTCGAAACGCTACTAGCAATCAAAGATCAAGCAGAAGCTCAACGCTCGCATGATGATGACCAAGTAGGTTTACAAAAGCGTGCCGATGGGGAAGACAATGAGAAGCATATTAGACAGTTGATCAACAAAAGGATCATTGTAAGTAAATCAAAGAATTCGTTAGGAAAGAAAGGAAATACACTCAAGCCGAGATCAGTCGCTTCGTTGCTCAAGTTATTCATGTGTAAGGGTGGCTTTACCTCCGTAGTTCCAGAACCAAGGAACACATTTCCTCAATCAAGAATGGAGAAGGTACACAGTGAAATTCTTTTTTTCTTATGTAACATGATAAGTTTTACATACTTTCTCGTCCTCTTATTATCTTATATGATGTTCATTGCAGTTGCTCAAGGCAATATTGCAGAAGAAAATACACCCGCAAAATTCTTCCACGCTAGTTGCTAAGAGGCATTTGGACTGGAAGCCAGATGAGACAGAAATCAATGAGTGCCTGGAGGATGCACTGCGTGATCTAGACGATGATGGTGCAAAATGGGTCAAAACTGATTCAGAGTGTAAGTAGCATACTTGCCTATCATGAATTGAACCTTTTCTTTTGCCACTTTTGTCAATGGAGCAACTGACTGAATATGAACTTTTCTTGTTTCCAGATATTGTGCTTGAAATGTAAAGTTGGGTGAATATGTTAGTTCGTTCATGCCAGGTATATACCTTTCTTTGATCCCCAAATTTTCAACTCAACTCAAATGTGAATTATCCTTGATCTAGCATGTCTCTCTGTTTTGATCTGATTAGTGTGATTCCAATCTGCAGGTTCCAAAGGTCCTGGCAAGCTTGGGGTTTATGGTGTTACTACGTAATGATATAAATATGGGATATAGTTAGCAATGAAGCTCTATGATCATGTAATGCTCCTCCATTATTTCTGACATGAACCATCTGTAATTTGAATCATGATAAGGAGGTTCTGGGACAAAGGCCTATTCCATGTGTCTACTCTCTTCTGCCCTGAAACTGTAAAGAACGCATTCAATTTTTTCAACTATCTTCTATGACAATTGCCATCTGTTGATTCCAGAGTTGTCTGCCATATCCAATTCAATTCACTAGTTAAATTCACATCATCTCTAACACTTGCTGAATAACTGTTTGATCACCTGATTTCTACACTCCAATAAAGAGTAATAAAACGGTAAGATTGACAACGTTGTTGGTACAGTACGGGCAGAGCGTAATATCTTGTCCGTGTGGCAGAGAAGAAAACGCACATTCCATCCGTTGCAGGCACGGACGCCTGTCTGTGTTGCGTTGCGTTGCTGCTGTACGTTCTTGGGAGCTTGTGGTTGGACACGCTTGACATCGGCGAGATTCTGCCGGCCCGTACCCCGGCCATACGTGATGGCCGGGCAGGATTCCCTCGTCCACGAGAGAGCATGGCGCAACCGCTGCTCCGGTGAACCTCCCCCCTACGTTAGATCTGGCAGAAGAGCGTATTCTCGTGGCAGCTCCATCAACTCTCTCCTTGACTTACCTCAAAAAAAAAAAAACTCTCTCCTTGACGCAGATTAAGCTTAGCTCGACTAGTTGGATTACTTGCGGTGGAACCAATTCACCCAGATTGAAATTCTAGAATTGATACATATGTTCAGCTAATTATTTTTTCATTGTGGTGGAACCAATTCACCCGGATTGAAATTCTAGAATTGATACATATGTTCGGCTAATTATTTTTTCAATGGTAGGGTAGACGTACCTGTCGATAGCGAGACGCCTATAGTGACTTCGTCCTCAAAATATGTCGACCTAGTTTTCCGAAAGTACTTATATGAGTAGGATGTTTGAGTGTGTACGTGTTACGAGCGTCTGCGTCTGATATGTGTTAAAAAAAAAACTCTCCTTGACGAATCTACTGCACTGCAGAAATAATTCGCGTTCGTGCACTCCTCCATCAGACGAGTAGCGGTCCATTGATTGTGCGATTGTCCCAGCCACATAGGTGCGAGAAGGCCGGCCCAAAAATTCCTTCGCGAAAACGAGCCGATTCCGCTGTGAAATCGGCGGCCGCGCAGCGCCAGTCTGGGCCAGGTTTTCGCCCGAGTAGCCCACGCGGTTTCACGGGCGTGCGGCCCGGTTGCGCCAGGTTGGTGACTAGCCCACGGTCCACTGAAACGGGGATTTCACGGGCGCGCGGCCCGACCGGTTGGTTTCTCCCCACCGACGGCTCCGTGCGACCGTGATGATGGTGCGACCCGCACCGTGCGAGGTGGGGGACGTGGGGGGTTCACCGGTTAAAGTAGAAAAAGCGGCGTGCCGACTAGGCGCTCCGCCGCGCTAATCCCGGCGGCTAAAAAACGTGGGACTTGCTGGTTGCTGCTGCCTTCCGCCTTCCCCTTGGTGCGCGCGCGCGGCTACCGTGAAAGCCAAGCGATCGCGGCGCACGGTGCGGGTGTGCTCGTTTCCCGTGCAGAATTGGGGTGGTTTTACATCGGCGTGTGGCCTCGCCGCTCGGATCGCGAGAGGGCGACCGGTGCAATACTAGACACTACCTGAGTGTACCCTCGTGTTTAAGCTACTGCTCCTAGTGTTTAAGTACTGGATCAGTGGAGCATATATATATATGCGCTAGGTGTTTAAGCCTACTATTATGGTATGGTGACTGATCAGAAGCAACCTGGCTGGGACTGGGAGGAAAGGGAAGGGATATAGCAAGTTTAATAGTACAGCCCACTATTAGCTCCAAATCATTTATAGCCAATGTAATAGCCAATTCATACAATAGTTGCTTACTATACTATTAATATTTGGTCCCACCTGTTATACACACATTACGTCTTGGAGTTCGTGCTGCAGCTAGCTACAGATCTGTAGCCCGCTGCTCTTCTCTCTCTTTCTTTATCTTTTTAAAATATGTTTATAGCTGGCTTATAACCTACTATTGTATCTGCTCTAAAGGAGAAAAGAGAGGCCATGATTAAAGATGAAAGGTGCTTACTAGCTCTGTGTGGAGTACAGTAATTAATCTCCGTTCAATTTTCTTCTTTTCTACTAGGATCCAGACCCGACAGACATGATCGACGATCGTAGGAGCGGTTTCTGTTCCAAACATGTTCTCAGATTTGATCAGTGGTAATTTCTCATGTAATCTCATTTTTCGTTCCAAGTCTTATCTCATGCCATAGGGCTGATATCTTGTTTGGGCTTAGCAGCAATAGGAATATAATTTACCGATAAAACATTTATATATACGAACGATTTAGAAGACAAATACTTAAAAAAAAACTATGATGAATAAAAACCTAAATGCACCTTTAAAATTTGTTGGTGGCTTATATGCTGTGTGGAAAATGGTGAGAGGCTAAAAACGAAAAGGATAACACTCCAACATCACAAACAAGAAATAAAATAAAATGAGAACTTCACATATGCACCCACTGCATTATTTACTGTAAACTTTGCTTGTTCAAGCAGCAGAGTCCAGGGCCCTATGAGCAAGTTTAATAATATAGCCTACTACTAACTCCAAATCATTTATAACCAATGTAATAGTCAATTTATAGAATATTTGCATAATATACTATTCTCATCTGTCATACACACATCACATCTTGAAGTCCGTGCTGCAGATCTGCTCTTTTCTCTTCGTTTAACTCTTTAAAATATATTTATAGTTGACTTATAGCCTGCTATTGTATCTGCTCTAATAAGTGTAACTAGTCCTAGCTAGCCCACCCACCCTGGATTAGTTTTTAACAACATGGTTTACCCTGCCAATTGTCCCAATGTCCCATTGACCCTCCTCTGATCACCAAAATGAACCAACAACAATTCAACAACACACGGGGAGACACTCCCTCTCACCAAGGAATAAACGAGGTCTCTCACCAACCAAACCCCCTCCTACTCCTCCTCCCGTTTATTACCGCGGCTTCTCTTGGCCTCTTGCGGTTTCTCCCCGACCGAGCTAGCGTCCGCTTCACTCACCTCGTCGTCTTCACTTCACTTCACGCACGCTCAGATCCAGCCTCGCTTCGCTGCCCCCCACCTCCATGGCGGCCGTGTCGGCGGCGGCCGCCCGCCTGCACCACCTCCTGAGCCTCTGCGTGGCCGTCGCTGGGCTGCTGCTGATGCTGCTCGGCGGCGGGGAGGCGTCGGTGCACGAGTACCGCGGGCTCGGCTTCCTCAACAAGGGCAATGCGTTCATCCTCCACGCCGGCAGCGAGGGCCTCTACGCGCCGTCCTCCCCCGCGAATGCGACGACCGCGGAGGACGACGAGGATGCCGCCGCCGCCGCCGTGGCCGACGCCTTCATCCGGTAAATTAAAATTTGATTAGCTCGCTGTTACTTCCGCTGCTGCCTTGATCGATTTCAATCTGTGTTATTCCGCGCGATGTGGGGCTTCTGCGCTGGAGTCGGTCTGGCAGCCGACGACCCGGTGGATCTTGGGTGCCGCCACCTTGGGGGGCTCTGTAGGATGCGTGGCTGGTTTGTGTTGATGGGGTTTTCCCTGAAAATGTAGGAAATTCTTGTTTACGTTGCTGTTTGCTTGTGGTAAGTTGATCAGCTGTGGGATGGGGTGTGTTGCTCTTGGGTGAATTTGTGTGCTAGAAATGGGAGATCCCCTCTCTGTTTTAAATAATAATAATAATAAGATAAAATAAAAGAATTGTGTGCTAGAACGCATTGTGAGTGCTATGGAGAGAATTTCTTGTAAGCAGGTGTAGATTTGCTGGTATAGCTTGGGCGATTGAAGATGCTTCTGATTTGTGTGATGAGAGGTACTGAGCTAAGGACTAAGGTGGATAGTCAGAGTCAAAGTGGTTTTGTGTGAATAGTGATGGACTTCTATGAGCTCCATTCAAATTCATTATGACACATTGGCGCTAATCGGAGCAAGATTGATGTTGATTTGAACTCCAGATGGGCATTGTGAAGTTAATTGTGCTTGATCAGCTTGATGATAGTGTTGTCAGTTGGTGTAAGTGTGTAGCTAAAAGCCTAACACGACTATATGAGGAGTACTAAGGTAAACTTGTGAAGGATAATATGCATGGGATAGAACAACTTGGTAGGATCAAACAAGCTTTAAGTTTGTTTAAATTGTTCTTGGGCCAGCATACAGTGTCCATATATATTTAACAAGCTGAAATGATGGAATTGGTACTTATCTTTTTGGCTTTAACTACAGCCCCCTACCCGTACAGGCTGATTATGTTTTGAGTTTTGCTTACTACTCCCTCTGTTCCAAAATATAAGCATTTCTGTGAGTTTTAGCAGAAATTAAGGTTGGGATGAGATGGTTGTGATTGGTTGAGATGAGGAAGTATGCGGAGAAATTAAACGAGAGATCGGTGGTCGTGAATGGTTGAAATGAGAAAGTAGGTGGAGAAATCCTTCTATTATGGTACAAATTTTAAATCCTAGAAATGCTTATATTTTGGAACATAGGGGATTGTTAATTATGCTACAAATTGGAAACTTTTGTTTATGGAGATGTAGTTCTAGCATTTAAAATGTCCATTTTATTATTGTCATTTATTATAGGTGTATCCAGAGCTTGCAAATGTAAACTTAAAATGTCTCTCACTTTCTAGATTTGACAAGATTACGTTTAGGAGACCAAAGGATGCTGCAAAGGAAACTGGTTCAGCAATGGTTCAGATACTTGTTTTTGAGATAGAAGATCGTGAGATGATTGGTGGATCAGCATATGGAGGTCAGAAAGCTATTTGTTGTACCTCAGATCTTGCGAAGTTAGGAGCTTGCACGGAAGGTTCTGTCATCTATCGGCCATCACAGGTGAATCCTGGCTGGCCACAGTTGCTTTTTTCATCTTTTGATGGAAGTGACACGATTGCAACACTACCTTCAAGGATCATTCCTATAACAAAAACCGGGATGTACAATATGTACTTCATACACTGTGATCCATCACTTGCTGGTCTGGAGATAGAGGGGCAAACCGTATGGAAAAATCCTACTGGGTATCTTCCTGGTCGGATGGCACCTCTTAAGAACTTTTTTGGAATTATGTCATTCGCTTTTGTTGTACTTGGGATTTATTGGTTCTATCAGTACATGAAGTTTTGGCGTGAAGTTCTGCCACTGCAAAACTGTATTACTCTTGTCATTACATTGGGCATGCTTGAGATGTCATTGTGGTATTTTGAGTATGCTGAGTTCAACGAGACTGGTGTTCGACCAAAGGGCATCACATTTTGGGCTGTAACATTTGGGACTGTTAAAAGAACAGTAGCCCGTGTTATTATTCTCATTGTCTCAATGGGATATGGAGTTGTCAGGCCTAGTTTGGGTGGTCTCACATCAAAGGTGGTTATGCTTGGAGGAACATTCTTTTTAGCTACGGAAATCCTTGAATTGGTAGAAAATCTTGGTGCCGTAAATGATCTATCTGGAAAAGCTCGATTGTTCTTGGTTTATCCCGTGGCTATTTTGGATGCTGCATTCGTTGTTTGGATTTTTATTTCGCTAGCTAAGACCCTTGACAAACTTCAGGTGAGCAATATACTTTTATATTATTCTTTATCAACTCCTTTTGCCCTATCCAACTAACCTATTTCAGATTTATCAGTGCAATGTCTTTTATGTTATTTATTTCACAGGTAGGAGGTGACACAATGTTGACTTATTTAAAAATGAAAAATAACTAACCAGCTGTAATCGTTTTCTTGTGGATCACAGGCCAGAAGGTCAATGGCCAAACTTGACATTTACAGGAAATTCACAATAGCATTGGCTGTAACTGTTCTGGTGTCTATTGGCTGGATTGGCTATGAGGTACGTTAATGTGTATCAAAACCATATGTTGACTGTATTGAGTCCAAGAAAATATCATTGTCTTGCACAAAACTGGTTTTGCCTCACCCGTTGTAGAGGCTGCATACTTCAGAGTCATGTATTTGTTTTTTAAGAATCTAGTCATTTTATCTTGTTCAGAATTTAAGGTGCTGTGGTTGACATTTGTTGCAGATTTACTTCAAATCAACAGATGTATTCAATGAACGATGGCAGTATGCATGGATAATTCCTGCGTTCTGGCATGTCTTGTCTTTCTCACTTCTTTGTGTCATTTCATACCTGTGGGCGCCGTCACAGAACTCAATGAGGTACAATCCTTATCTTTTGGTGAATTTCAACCTGGATAATACTCAAGTTTTATTGTTTCATTTAGCATTTCATTGCAGTAGATGTGCTGAATGACTAGTAGACAGCTAAGAAAATGTTTCTCATCATTCAGTTGCACTGTTTATTTCTGACCTGTCATACTTTCCCTTGAAAAGAGAACATAAACCAACATTGTAGCTTTCGGTAGCATTTTTCTCCAGTGCATGCACTTAGGTACCATGTCAGAATTTTGAACCTCCCTGTATAATTTATGCAATGAGATCCTACACTATAGTAAGGTAGGAAATAGGCCCTTTGTTAGAAATGGGGAATCACATTTCTTTGGCTACCCATTTTAGGTTTACCTATGATGCAAGCGAAAACTTTGATCGAGAGGACAGTCTGTCACTAATAAGGCCAGGTCCCATTGCTTCCAAGAACGGGTGGAGTTTATCTTCTTCACCAGACACCAAAGCAACAAAGAACGTTACAGTTACATCTTTTGATGGAGATGACGAAGAAAACAAAAGGGAGTAGAAGGGGCACTGTGCATTTCATGAGGGAGAGAAGATACAGCCACATTCAAATTTTGGTATGCAGCAGATCACACTTTACTAATTCTAGTTGTCGGGATACGCCAAGGGAATTATGGAAGTAATCTTTATTGAATTCATTTCCTCCATATAGTAGTTTTTCACACGGTGCGCCACGTTATAGGCATCACTGTATGGATGATGATATATATGATAGGAACAATTTATCTATGCCATCCAGAGGATGTGTGGTGTATAATGTGTATTTTTGTAGATTTGATGCTGCTTCTGGTTTATGTGAACTCCAAGATTGTCATGTACGGTAGAAGAGAATGTTGTTTTTCTGTGTTTTATTTATTTATTCTTGATTACTAAGGCTGTGCTTTTGGGGGGCTGAGAACCCTTCCCAGCACGCGTGCAAAATGGGACAGTGGTTAGCGAAAGATTATAATGAGATGTGGAGTACTAGTATTAGCTAAACAAACTTAAAAAGTAGACTAAGGCAGTGTTTGAAGGAGGGTTGGGAAACCCTTCTCTCCGCCATGTATAACGAAGCACTCATTAGCATATAATTAATCAAGTATTAGCTAATTTTTTTTTAAAAAATGATCAATATGATTTTTTTAAAAAAACTTCTGTATATAAACTTTTACAAAAACGGCACCGTTTAGCCGTTTGAAAAACGTGCGTGTAAAAGACAATGGATAGGAGTTGGGAACAAAGTGCAAGGAAAACAGCCTCAGCTCGATTCATTTGTTTACGATGTAGGAGTAGTATGGTTTCAGTCTTTCAGACCCAAAAGAGCAGAGAATTTGCACTCGAATACTTGCTTACTCCACGTTTTTAGGGCCTATTCAATTTGATGTCATTTTCTATCATACTATTTTTTTTTTTGGTAAAGTTGACAAAAAAAATATGTCTACGTTTAGTTTGTTGCCAAATTTGATCAATATATAAGAAATTCTGCCAAAATTTTAGTGCCAAAATTTTGGCATTGCCAAAACTTGGTAAGGTTTATTTTGGCTACAATCTAAACATGCCCTTAGTATGTTAATGGTGAAGAGATTGACACGTCTGAACGTGATAAAGGAGCATGAGTCTGACCAGGTGGGGTCCACTGTCATGGACCCACAAGTCAATGGCCCATGTCCCTGTTTAGATTTCAATGTTTTTCTTCAAACTTTCAACTTTTCCGTCACATCGAACTTGTCTACACACACAAACTTCTAACTTTTTTATCACATCATTTCAATTTCTTCAAACTTCTAGTTACTTTTTCGTACCAGCCATAACCAAGGTATGTCGGCGACGTGATCAAAGTGGAACGAACACAACAGCACACCAATCAAACGTTGTTTCACTCTGATTGGCCCCCAACACGCCGCTGAACCATGTGAGCGACAATCAGACGGCCAGGCAGGCAGGCAGTAGGACGCAGTTCCAGTTCTCGCATGTGCACGCATAGGCATAGCTAGCCCCCCCTGCTGCTCCAACACACACTTGAGAATCGGTTGACGGCAACGGGAGGTTGCCTATGCACACGCTACTACTACTCCAGTACCTCCACATGGCGTCCCGTCCCGACCCGACCCCAACGCGACAGATGTGCCTCCAGCCTCCGGTTGCCGCCTGCCTGCGGCTGCGCCGACGCGGACGCGACCGGCGCCGCGCATGCAGCCCGATCGCGTGATTCGCGTCGTCTACCACCGACTCGGACAACCGCTGCTGGTCGCGGGATGCGGTTGGTTGCAAAAGCAGTGGCTCCTGTCTCTGCTGCCTCCCCGCGCTGCTCTCTGCTCTGCTCACGGGACGCACGGCCGCCGCGGCTCACGGGTGGTCGCACTGTCCTCGCCGTCGCCTCGTCGCTGTCTTTGCTGCTGCCTCCTCTCCCGGCAGGGCAACAGCTCCGGCGCGTGCCCGCCCCCGTTGAATCTCAAACTTTTGACAAATGGGGACATGTTTTACGGTGATCGAAAGGCATCAGAAATGAAACGCCTCCACCTTACGAAATACTGAGATGTCCCTGTTTTTTTTATATTTTTAAGCCATGTTGTCGTAAGGAAAAGGGGGACATTTCCTGTGAAAACCATCAAGACATAAAAAGTATTGTAGATTCATGAAAAAAATAAAGATAAGTTTTGTAAATTCCTGAAAGGAAAAAAAAATAGAGATATGTGTAGGTATGAAATATATTCTTACCAGTTTTCTCTCAAATGAAGTTGAGTTTGAACTTTAAATTTGGTATGAAAGTATTTCATGCCTATACCTATCTCCAATAATTTTTTCGTGATTTTATATAACTTTTAAATATGGTTTTTATGAGTTTTCACTTATTCGATGGTTGAGATATAAGATATGCAAGCAAACAAAGAATGCACAATGTTGATCGATTCACCAACATAAAAAAAAAATCTATGAATGAGTATTGGCCAACAGTTAGGTTGAGCAAACGAGAACTAACGTGTGAGCACATACCTCATAGATTTGTGTGCTGATGAACTTGAAATAAAATAGTATGTGAAACAGTCATGTGTGCATTGCAAAAAGAATATCCGAATAAGCATGTTTGCCCGGTCCATAAGGAAGGTTTACCGGCTAAAGTTTGCATGTTTATAGAAAAATATGAAGAATACATTTCAGAAAATTATTCCATGCCTGATTCCCATGACATCTGTCAGGGAGCCAGATGATGCTCATGGCTGATGACATGATCTGCCGAACCAATAGCTGGTTCACCTATACTTTCAAACCATGAAATCGGTTTATAGATCCATCATTGTACCTTAACTACTGATATAATGGACCTATATATACCAAAATACAGGTGTAACAAGCAACAGATCAGGCAGCAACTGCAGCTATTTTTGCTGTCAGGAGTCAGTTGCTGCAGAAACTCCACATATTCCATGCATTTCAGGCTTCCTATGACGTGTTGAGGGAGCAACAAAATCACACTTAAAATAACTCAATTCAACATAAGGGTCCTAGGATTAGTAATGTGAAATATGATGGTTATTGTTTTTAACAATCTGAAGCAACACTTCTGACAGCATAACCGTGCAAAGATTAGTAAGATGCAGCTAAATTATTAATATAAGCGGGAGAAGAATGGTGCAAAACCAAAATACTGTCAAGCGAGAAACCATCACACTTTTAATGCCACATCCATACAGCTCACTGCTTAACAGCATTACAGCGAGTCAGCGACCAAACATTACTCAATAGAGAACCATAACAGAAATCTGAATTACATCATCATGAGCAACCAATCATTACATCGCACCATAGCTATGTGAAGCATATAGTTATATCGAAGAAATCTATGTGAAGTTTTATGGTTTCCTTATTCCTCGACACATAACCAATACAAACAGCCCTCAAGTAATGAGTAGGAAGAAAGAATTACATGCAAAATTTTCTTATATAAAGACTTGTTAGTCCACAATTTAGAAACTCTTATAAATTGCTTAGCTCACCCCAACTGAACAGAATCTGAATTATCAACGCAGTATCTTTTTGGTATGATAATATCTAAACTACTACTGAAAAGATAACATCTCTCAATGATAATCATTGAAGCATTTTATCAGAAAATAAATTATGTGCCTCATTCAATAGTAGATCAAGGAGTAGGCAATTTGCCATGCACAAACAGAAAACTACATGCTTTACCTAATGCTGATACGATAATGCATATAATGCATAACATAAGTGCATTGCTGTTTTAAAATGGGATGCTACTGTCCTTTTTTTTTCATGTTAGCATTAGCACTAGTCCAAACTAGGAAGTTGCCTTAAAAGAGACTTTGGTCGTGTTTAATTCCACGCCAAAATTGGAAGTTTGACTAAAATTGGAAGTTTAAAAAAAAAGTCGGAAGTTTATGTGTGTAGAAAAGTTTTGATGTGATGAAAAAGTTAGAAGTTTGAAGAAAAAATTGGGAACTATACAAGCACTTTAAAAGAGACCTGATGTGGTAACCTCAAAAGTCAAAACTGATACTTTAAGGCAGAACATGGTCTTGCATAGGTAAAACCCAGTAACACAGATTTGTTTTTACATCTAATCTATGAAGTGCAATCTTAATATATATCTGAACAACCAAAAAGGTGACAAGACACTCAGTTAAGTGTCAAACAAACACCATGATGTTACAACTTACAACTGCGAAACATTCTGAAAGAACAGACCTATATGAACAATCTAATCATAAAAGATATGATGATAGTGTAACAAACGAACAAGGTTGGCTATAAAAGGAAGAACCACTAAGGAATTTGACAGTTTCAATAAGATCCTGATCCTGTTTCAGATTACCTCTAGTAGAAGAAATCATCACCAACTATACCCTTAAGTCTTGCTTTTCCCGAAGCATTGTAGAATACTAGGCAACCACACTCATCAGTCAACAATAGAGATCTTTTGAGTCTTCAAGCCACCTCTCATCCATGGGATCTTCTCCTGTTATGTAGCGAAGGTGGACAACCCTCAAAGAAATTTGTGACGGACGTCTCAAGGTCCTCAACTGAGTATTTGATGTACAACTCTGGGTGCCTTCCATTCTCTATGTGATGCCGGAACCGACCAAGGAAGGATCGATATGCTGGAAGAAGTTTCTCTGCTATTGATATCCTAAGCTCTTCTCTCAGCTGCGTGTCTGGCACATACCAAGCAGATTGAACCCTATGTGCCTCCTCGAATGCAGCATTGAAAGACTTGAAACGCTCCCGGAGTGCTGATTTGGATACCCCTGATGAAAAGCCCCCACTGACATGCAGACCTTCATCTCTCAGACAATTCAGGATCTTCAACCATGCTGTCCGTTGATAGCGAGTGGCTGCGAGCCGGAACTTACCTGTCAGCTGCTTCAAATACTCATCACCAATAAGCCCCCGGAGCTCCGGTGAATCCTTTATCTTGTGTGCAATATAGTGTACATTGTTCATGACGAACAAATGAGAGAGTGCCGCATCCTTGTAGAGTGATGCTTTGCTCTCAAGATTGTGCTCAAGAACCACAATAATCCAGATAAGATGAGCAGCAAGGGGTAACTGACTGTCAGGGTCGGCAAGGTCAAGATCAGGGAAGGATGGGGCATTCTCATTGCCCTCAGGAGCAATTCGGGAGCAAGCCAATGGCCGCGACACAATCAGCTCAGACAGTGTGGTTTTGTAGTCAGAAATGAGGCTACTGTAATTCATGACATAGCGAGTGAGAGGATGGATGGTACCACCAGGCACCGGAGTCTTCGACGGGTCACGAAGCACAGCGTTCTCAAATTCCGACAGTATACCACGCACGGCATCAGCGAGACGCGACCTGATCTCGGCAGCCTGCACGTATATGGATTCCCCGGCCTTGGATGCAGCAAAGATGTCGGAGACGTCAGGCAACAGATCGGCGATCGCGTCGTGCAGGTCAATGATCTTGAACAGCTTCTCCGGTGAGCGGCGGCCGATGCTGATCGCCTCGGCGAAGCCGAAGAGCTGCAGGGCGGCGCCCTTGACGGCTTCCGCGAAGGGAGCGTCGTGGGTGGCAGTGGTGATGGTAGAGCTGGAGAGGGGAAGGTCGTGGAAGATGAGGAAGCAGAGTCGACGCTCGCTGGCGAAGACGCCGCGGACGGCGGCGCGGGCAGCACGGATCCAGCGGCGGATCTTGGCCTCGAGGACTTCCCACTCGAGCCGCTGCACGTCGCCGATGCTGAGCTTCTCAACGCCGAGGCGGCGGAGCGCGGAGTCGACGGCCGGCTTGCGGACGGAGGCGTACACCTGGACGCACTCGCGGCCGTAGCCGGCGACGGCCATGCGGGAGGCGATGGCGTGGAGGTCGGAGATGGCGTCCGCGGGGAGGAGATCGATTTCTCGGATGCTGCGCAGCGAGCGGTAGCTGCTGCGGCGGCCGACGGAGGACGACACGGAGTCGTCTTCGTCCGCAGCCGCCGCTTCCTCGGCGACGTCCGCGGAGTTGGTCCGGTCGCTGCACATGGAGAGCGAGGTGAGGTCGGCGAGCGCCTCGATCTCCAGGTCGAGGGCGCGCGACGACAGCACGTGGCGGAACTCGTCCTCCAGCCGCGCCATCGCGACCTGGACGGCGTTGGACGCCGCCCCTCCGCCGCCGCTAGCCGACGAGGTGCGGCGCGGGCTCCCGACCGTGGCCGGGGACGGCGGCGCCAGCCGCCGTAGGTCATCCACAGCCCGGAGGAACCGCTCCGCCTCCACCCGGTCACCGCCGCCATCGAACAGCATCTGCTCGTCCCCGCCCCCGCCCCCGTAGGACGCCGACGCCGTGGAGTCCCACCTCATCACCACCCTCTCCGCCGCCTCCAGCTCCGCCGCCGCAGCGGTGGATCCATCCATCATGCTTCACCCCCCAACTCCCAACACACCCACGCCGCAGCACAACACCTCCACACTCCCGCCGGTACGGCGCGGGGAGGAGAGCCTTAAGCCGGCGGCGGCGGCGAGGCGAGGAGGCGAGAGGGCGCTGTGCAGTGGCCGCTTCGAGCGGCCGCTCGTTTTATCGAATTCGCTTTTTGTCTCGGGTATTTTCCCCTTGTTGCTTTGCTCCTTTGGGCTTCCTCGCACCACTAATTATCCAATTAGTGCGCGGATTAGTAGCAAAGCTGTGGAAGCGGAGACTTTTTATCACCTCCCAACAAAATAAAATACACTCTAAATAAAATAAATAAATAAATAAATTATAAATGCCGACGGCAACTGATTGGTGGGGCCCACATATCTGTCCCCACCGGCCAGTGAGTCCACGACTCCACGTCGTCTTTTTCCTTTCCCGAATGGATGGCTGCCTCGTGGGCCCGGCTAGTCAGTGGCGGTAATCCTGTACCGACGTGACTCGTCACGCCTATGGTCAATTTTCGTCATTAGTATGCATGAACGGCGGTGTGCTACTGTTTTGGTGTTAATCTTTTTTGAGACAGTTTATGAAGCAACATTATGCATAAATTAAAGCAGGTAAGCACGGCTGACAGCTCATCCAGTCGGTTCTTGACTGGACTGCACAACAGCAGCAGAGAGCACAGAGAAGAGGACAGCATTTCCGGTATGTCTGACAGCAACCAACTAGCAATGCAACCTATCGGCTAATCATCGATTAATCATGTACTTCTATCAGGTTAGACAAGAAAGAGAATTACCTCCTGTGTTTTTAATAGATTTCTTCATTAACTTTTTATTACACGTTTAGTTATTTATCCAATTAAAAAGTATGTAGTTATAATTTATTTTGTTGTGAATTAGTGTATCCCTCAAAGTATTTTAAGTATATTTTATATCTTATATATTTATATAGGAATTTTAAATAAGATGAATAGTTAAACATGTCGTTAACTCATCTACTATTAAAAACGATGCGAGTAATTCATATAACAGCGGATGAGAGAGATCACGATGGTCAGGCTACCTGAAAACGGTGCATGCGTGTCTTCTTCGGTAAGCCAAGATCTTTACTGCATTCTTCTTCAGTCCTGGAATCATCTTTTCTGAAAATGTTTTTTATCATCTTCTTCTCCTTTTCAATCCGTTGCTGTCTTTTGTGGGGTTCTTTCCTAGGAAAGGTGTTAGTTGTTCAGCCTCCTTTCAAGAAGCTATGGACCATACTACACGACTGCATGATGCTGGTGATGGTGATGATGCTACGAGAGATCTTGCCTTTTTTGTGCTAACTGTAACGATTTCCTTTCAGGTCAGTTTCAGATATAGGAAGTGATAAGTACTTACGTTAGAGGATTTCATCAGTGGTAAATTTTGCAGGATGTGGTAATAAGCAGCGCTGAATGAGTACAGTGAGTTTTTCAGGCTACAAGGCATCTCTGAATTTTAACTTCAAATGGTATCGTTCTTTTCACTATCGTAGTAATAAAGTAAAGAAAAAGAAAAGCATGTGAGACAGTGATGTGACCATGGTAAACTTCAAACGAGTTAATTTGTTCGTCAATGAGAATAAAGTAACCTGGGTTAGTTGAGATCTTATTACAAGATTCGAAAGCGAGTTACATGACTTTCTGAATGGCACCAAGGCAGGAGACCAGTTCATTTGTTTGTCCTGTCAGTTTGTGAAGTGTGAACGAATGCAAGGACACAACGGAATAAGCAGGCACGCAATGTCTAATGGACCGAATTCATTTGGTAGCAGAAGGATGACACTACAGTTCAGCAATCATCCTGCAAAAGCATAGCTGTTTCCGCAGACGATTCATGCATAATGCATTCGTGTCCCTTCCCTGAACGACCAACAGATTGAGCTGTGTGTGTATGACAAGCGGGCCCCACTCATCTGATGGCTTTGTTTGTGTGTGTTTGGTCTAGTTTCAGCTTCATATATGATGGAATTATTATAAACTAAATCAGAACCAAACGCAAAGCTCATTGTGACTTGTGAGGTTTAATCGAATAATAATCCAGATTCCTCTCTAACCACAATTCTTAGGGATAAGATAAAGCCAGGAAACAGGAGACATCTAGGATTATAAATTTACAATAAGTTGAAACCAAACCGGCAACTTGACAGCAGTGATGCCACTGGAAAACCGGCAAAGCATCGATTAGCTTTCCAAGTGGTGGTGGACTACCGTTCTTTGCAGGGAACTGAAATACGTTAGTACGTTACGAGTAATTGTCAACAGCCACATGCCTACGCCGCTACGCGGGATTTTCTAATGTTTTGTTCTGCACGATGAACACTAGTAGACTAGATTCGTGTTTTTTTTTCTCGTTTTTCTTAATCTAGTACTCCCTCTGTACTCATAAAAGAAGTCGTTTTGGACAACAACACGGTCTCCAAAACATAATTTTTACTTCTTATTTTTATAAAAATATTTATTGAAAGTGATATATGTATACTTTTATGAAAATATTTTTCAAGACAAATCTATTTATATAATTTTTACATTTTCAAACTTAATAACTTGAGAGTTATTTATGATTTATATTCCTAAGATTTGATTTAAACATTGTCCTAAACGATTTCCTTTACAAGTAGGGAGGGAATACTTCAGCAGCAGGTAATTATTGGTAGTAATAATTTAGCATGCAACATATATGGGCCGCACGTATGGTGCAATCCCTTTCCAGCCCAACACAAATGGGCTGCATTTCCGTCGCAATACTATTCCGGCCTACTAAAATGGGCGACAGCCCACCTGAGTTTCGCAGCAGCTAATAAGGAAAAAAGTATATAGAAGTTCCTCGTCCACCAACCACCAACCGTAAAAATCAGATATATGTATCACTTAACTTAAATCGGGTCATTCTGAGTTCTTAAACGGTTTTTATCCTGGTTTCATCTGAAATGACAACTAAGTCAGCGTGTGACCCACGTAGGCCCACATGTCGGAGTGACCATGCCATCACCCTCTCTATTTCCCCTCTTCTTTCCCTTCCTCCTCTCTCTCACTCTTCTCTGCGGGGGCGGTCGATGGGTGCGGAGGAGGCCGGTGGGGCGAGGCAGGAGAGTGTCGACAGCCGGCGACGGCGGCACGAAAGAAGGGGATGTGGCTATTTAGAGGTGAAGAGGGTGTCGGTGGCCGGCAACGGGTGACCCGGTGGCAGCAACAACACGGGAGAAAGAGAGGCAGCGGTTGTATAGACTGTTGGAGCCGACGAGCACCGACGCGGCGCGGGCCCGGTATGTGGCGAGCCAATCCGCCCTCACACCGGCACCATCCGTGCCCACATTGAACCACCCATATGAGGCCTCCTCCACCTCGCCCCTGTCGTTCACCTCCAGCTCCGTTACATCGAGTCCGCCTTCGGTGCCGCGGCACCCACCTCCAAGCGAACCACCACGGCGCTCGGCCCCGCCTCCGCCTTTGTGCCCACCGCCATGCTTTCCCTTCACTCCCCCCCCGGGTACTCCTGCCGCCGACGCCCTCCCCTTCTCCCGCGTTGCCGCCGCCACGTCGCCTGCTACCGGACCTCCTCTCCCACTAGCCTCCTCCCCACCTATCAGTCACCCTGCCCAGACAAGGAGAAGAGTGAGAGATAGGAGGGAGGAGAAAAGAGAGGAAAAAGAGAGGGTGATGACGTGATTACCCTAATATGTGGGGCCCACATGGGTCGCACGCTAACTCAACTGCCACATCGGATAAAATCAGGGTCAAAACCGCTTAAGAACCCAAAGTGACGCAGTTTTGTAATTTGAGGAATGACGTATATTTGGTTTTACGGTTGAGAGATGATTTTGTAATCTGATGATAAGTCAAGGGACCTCATACGTACTTTTTCCCAGCAGCTAATCACCATGGCCCAGCCCAAAACTTGTCTCATCTCACCGTAGACATAAGTCACGTAAGACAAACTGCCCTGCCTGTATATTCACATATCCAAAGCGAAATGACACCGAAACATAAACTGCTCAAATCACCCTTTTTTTTTCGTAACATCTCATTCATCATTTCGCTGTCTTTTTTTTTTTTGCAACATCGCTTTTAGCATTTTCATCTGTAGACTGCAACGTCCCAAACTCTAATCCCGTCAATGGGACGTGAATGCCTGCAAGATCAAAAATCAAGACTAGTTAATTGATTAATTAATTAACTAGCAAGGTGGTCCATGCAAATTGCGCAACTAGCATTATTATATTTTCTCTCGTATAATAGCATATATATATGTTTTTTTTCTCAATTTATTATTAAAATATATTAAAATGACAACATAATTTTAAATTTTGTACTATCTTTACCAAACTACCAATGTGTAATAATCATATTGTATTTTATATATGTGATACTTATTAATTAATTTTAATATCAGTTTTAGTTATTTCTAAATTATATTCCTATATGGCCTGTAAACTCGTCTTCTAATATTTTTTTTTTATTCCGAATTTTCGTTATTTGTAAATTGTATTTTTATATAGACTCTAGCCTCTTCTTTTAATATTATTTATTTCTAATTCTGAATTTTTATTATTTCTAATTGTATTTCTATGTCGACTCTAAACTCATCTTTCAATATTCTTTATTTTTTTAATTTCGAATTTCAGTTACTTCTAAATTGTATTTCTATACAGAGTAACTCTTCTTGCCATATTTTTTATTTCGAATTTTAGTTATTTGTAAATTATATTTCTATATGGACTCTAAACTCTAATTGTAATTTTATTATTTTTATTCCAAATTTTAGTTCATTCTAAATTCCTATATGGACTCTATGCTTTTGTTCTAATATTCCTTATTTTTAATTCTTTATTTGTAAATTGTATTTTTTTATATAGACTCTAGGCTCTTCTTCCAATATTATTTATTTCTAATTCTAAATTTTCATTATTTTTAATTGTATTTCTATATGGACTCTAAACTCATCTTTCAAATTCTTTATTTTTTAAATTTTGAATTTCAGTTACTTCTAAATTATATTCCTATATGGAGTCTATACTCTTCTTGCCATATTTTTTATTTTGAATTTTAGTTATTTGTAAATTGTATTTCTATATAGACTCTAAACTCTAATTGTAATTTTATTGTTTTTATTCCAAATTTTAGTTCATTCTAAATTCCTATATGGAGGCTTCTTTTTCTATTACTTTAATAAGATAATAGATTATAATATGCTGCGTGCATGACGGGGCTCATCGTTTCCTCTGTGCAGAATTAGCTAGGGCCAAAATTTAAATTTAAAACTTAATTTTAAAGTTTTTTATTGAAATTTATCTTCTAATGTTGGTATTTAAATTGCTATAAGCACATATGTAAAAGTTCTCATAAATTATTAGCATTTTTTACTAATGCGCCGTAAGACGTATTATTAGCATTTGGCTGGCTGAGTAGAGTACGACGCACCGAGAAGACGTTGCAGTGGCCGGGGTCGGCGAGGTGATGCAGGAGGTTATCAATGGGGCCCTCGCCGGTGTAGACGGCCTGGAACCAGAACCCCACGAAGGCGAGCATGGCGAGCCTCCCGTTCTTGATCTCCTTGGTGCGCAGCACCATGACGGGCTCCGGCGATCCCCGGCCCCAGTTGCCCCAGTCGAACCACAGCCCGCCGGGGTAGCCGACGTCCGGCACGGGGTTCCTCCGGTTGGGCAGCCGCGGCTCGACGGCGACGCACCCGGGGTTGAGGTAGTCCGCCCACCGCCGCCCCTCCGCCCACCCCATCAGTGCCATCTGCGACACGAACAGCGTCCACGGGTCCGCGAAGTAGTCGCGCGCGCCGGCGTCGATCCATGAGTAGTCCTCCATGAACCCCCATTTCTCCAGCACCTCCGGGACCAGGATCCCCGCCACCGCCAGCATCGCCCACCGGCTGTGCATCAGCTCCGCCTGCGCGAACCACCGCAGCAGCTCCGGATCCGACCCTGCAGGCAAAAACGTTCGATTGTTACTGCACAAGACACAAGTGTTGATAATTTTGTGGAAAGAAATTAAATGCACTTTTGGACTACTTTTATTGTCGTAGTTTAACTTTGAACTTCAATCTATTCATTTTATACTAGATAACTTTATGTTTGTTGCACTTTGAATCACCTCGACTATATCTTCTCAAGTCATATTCATATTATACACCGACAAATATATGGCCTACTTATAGGTAGAGGATTTCGCTAACGTGGTAAAACCGACATGTTTAAGATCGTTAATATGCTAAATAAGTGGTTTTGGGTAGTTCAAAGTAAAATAAACGTAAATTTAGCTAGTCCAAAGTAAAAAGATTGGACTAGAGTGATCTAAAGTGAAACTACGACAACAAAAGGTGGTTAAAAGTGCAATTCGCTCAAACTTGTGAGAAGATGTGCGCATAGGTTGGTTACCTAATCCAAGAGGATCGAAACCGAAGTCTCCCGGGAGGCTGCCGTCGAGCCACGGAGGAGGGGAGCTGCCGGGGAACCAGAGCGGCCTGTCGGGCCCCAGCGGCTCGCACACCGCGGACACGCCGCCCTTCGTCGCGCCGGCGCGGTGGCCGGCCATCCTTGCAACGGCGGCGTTCTGCGACGGCAGCGTCGGCGCGCGCAACGCCGCCCGCACCCTAAGCTCAGAAGAACACAAGAATGACATTTTCGCAACACACGGAATCGAATTGAGATGCTTCAATGGCACAACACAAAAAATGAGGGAAAATGAGGGAGAAAGGGAAGAAGAAGACGATGAAATAGATGGGTGTTGCTGAATTATTATGATTATTATTACCTTGGTTGGATGCTACATGCCGCGAATGAGCCGGAGGGCAGAGCCATGGAGGAGAGTGAGGAGAACAGGGAGAGGGCGAGTGAAGCTGGTGAAGTGTGAAGGAGGGAAAAGTGCAGAGCAGTTTATCTGCTTGGAGTTTAGGATAGGGAGGGAGAGGGCGTGGCGTTCATCGACAGGGAGCCAATGAGGCCTTGCCAGGTGTGACCAGCATCTATCATACAAGTTGGGGTCCTGACTTTTGTGGGCATGTAATTTGGAGGCCCGTGATACAAATCTGTTTAGAGTTTGGCCCGTTTAAGATTACAAGAATCTTGAAAAGCTGGAAAATCCAACTTATGACTAAGATAGCCCACTACTAGCTCCAATTCATCTATAGCCGATCTAATAGCTAATTCATACAATAGTTGCTTATTATACTATTAACATATGGTCCCACCTGTCATACACACATTGCATCCGTACTGCAGCTGGATACAGATATGTAGCCCGCTGCTCTTCTCTCTCATCTTTTATTTCATTAAAATATGTTTATAGCTGGCTAATAGTATGCTATTGCACATGCTCTAACAATTCTTAAAATATAGGTGACAACCCGGACTATTTGAGGAGCTCAAGATTTTAGAAGTTATGGTTGTGAAAAGCTCCCCCAAGCAAGGCCTCTATATGATAATGATGGCTTCCGAGTATTATAGGCCTATAATTTAGGGTCTTAGTATTGAGCATATGAAATAATTGAAGCAATTTTGTAGCTTCGGCAAGCTAAACTTCATGAGATGATTTAACTTCATGAGAAGTAACGAAAAGGAGGAACTTATTGAAGTATACAAAACAACTTTACGGATGTGTAAACGAAGAACTTTATTGCTCTCAACAGAGAAATTTGTTGCTAAAAAGGTGTACAATTGAGCTATGGGCCTGATTTAGTGTGTACAAATACATGACTGAAGTGGAAACATCAGTGTCCTTTTGTGAGGCAGTATAGACAGGTGGAACATCCTTAAATACATTCCTGAGACTCTGAGAGTGAAAGCTGTAAAAAGCTACCCAAAAAATTCTCTGTAACTGTTAACTGAGCAGTGAATACTCCTACAGCAATGGTACAGTGAACCGAAAAAAAGAGGGTGCCGCCTTGTCAAAAACTGTAGTCGATATCAGAGATATTCTGCAGTGCTGATTGTTTAACCAGCTCACGCCGCTCGTTGTACAGATCCAGGTTCTTGCACGGTACAGGGAAAACATAGCCAATGACCTGCCCCTGGACGAAGGAGCACTGGAAAACGTGGTTCTTCCTGTCCACCAAACCGACTGACATATCATGGAAAGTAACATTCTTCACGGGGATCTCTGCGCTCCCCTGTATCCTGACTGGTACACGCACCCCATGTCCATGGATTGAACTGTACGAGATGTTCTCTATGATGGGAACTGCCTTGGGGTCGAAGCCTTCGTCCGGGTGCTCATTGTAGTCGGTCTTGATCACAATGCCAACTCGGATGTGTTCTAGGGTTATGTTCCGGTACGTGATGTTGCTTACATAGGCCCCTCTTCCAGGGGCAGTCTTTATCCTCACACCTCGCCGTGAATCCCAGATATGGACATTCTCTACCAAGACATTTGAAACACCGCCAGACATCTCACTTCCTATAGATACACCAGCACTGTCCAATAAAATAGAAAAAAAAAGGTCACACACAATGGCACAATCACATGGCTTTAGAAAAGTCTCGACTACTGGCACTTAACAAATAAATTAAGCGAACAAGCTAGCCTACTTAATAATGAAGAGATGTATTACAAATAATATTGATATCTGTGATCCTAGTAGATAAATTAACTTGTACGGTAAGGAAATGCAATCATTAGACCAAAGAAAACATCACAAGTTCACAACCAATATGCTGTGTATTAGTTAACATATTCACAGAATTATCTACCGGATAACTTATACCAATTCATATTCTGAACATCTAAAACTTCTAATAGTGAACCAAACCAAACTGAGAACATAATGAAACATGAGGAAATGACTCACCTGACCATGGAGCGGATTGTGACGTTGTGAATAATAATGTTAGTAGATGGACGCCCATAAGCAATTCCATATTGGTCCCAACCACTCTTTATAGCAATCCCATCATCACCAACAGAAATATAGCAGTTTTTAATCACTACATTCTCACAAGAATCTGCATATATAGTAAAATAATTGAGAATCTTACTAGTGAAGCATAAAGTTTACTAAATAATACAAATGACTCCAACATGATGTAGGAATACAGGGTTGTCTGGTACATATTGTCATCTACATGTACATATTGTCATTATACAGTCATAGGAGATTGTAAGATATAAGAAAATTGCAGCTGTGGCATTGCCCTGTGGTTCTAAAAAAATTATAAGCTAACAGAAATGAAGAAAAGCTCAGAATCACAAAAAAAATGAAAGAGATAAAATTGGGAAATGACCTGGATCTATCCCATCAGTGTTTGGAGCTCCAACAATTGGAGCCAGGATGGTGGTATCTGATATAGTAACATCCTTGCAGTCATATATATGAAGTGTCCAGAAGGGAGAATCCCGTAGAGTGATGTTAGAAATGGTAATGTTACTTGACCGCATGAGTTGCACAAGAGGACCCCTTGTGTGATTGAGGACTTTCTTCCGAAATTTGCTCCACCAACTTTGACCTTGCCCATTTATGGTTCCATTTTGTCCTGTATAAGGTAGGGAAAAAGGAGAAAACCTCTCAGCTGATGAAAATACAAGCCAATTTCAGCTTCAGGACAAAGAGCTGCTAGCAAGGATAAGAGTACAAGGAACAGGCTGCCAATAAATAATACACAAAAGGAACAAATTATATGACCAGTGCCAACATTTAGCCTACTCCTAACAGAATGATAGCTTATAAATAAATGTCAGTTAGCTTAATTGCAACTGTTTCTGAAAAAATAATCCAGGACCTCTCTTTTAGTCTTATATGCTGAAATAGGACATGTCGACAACCAAATACGATTCATATTAAAATTTAGTGACTGAGAAATAACTTTTCCAACCATTTGCATGATTTCAGATATAGTGGTTTCAAGATCTGATGGAACTTGGCTCTAGAATTGCTTTAACAACAAATACACTGCACCAAATATTCATACCTCCTACAATGTAGAGAAAAATATGCTATTAAACAAGATCGTATCTTTGTCAAGTTATTCTCAATTTGCCACATGCTTGCTGGTGGAAAAGATATCCAGTACCGCTATTTAAAGTTTCAAGAAATTGGTGATTGTATTTACTGTTATATTTTAGAGAACATGTGCAGGATGAGATCAACTGACGAGCATGTCTCCATATGATCAAGAACCAAGTGATTGGAGTTAAACTCAAAAGTCCTTGAAAAGATAGATGACAACATAAGCTCCAGGCTCCAGCATATGACCACACACTTCTATCATATAATGTTTTCTTTTCCGACCACTATAGCTGAGATTTGTCATTTTTGGAGACTGAATTTTGTGGCTTGATCCTCACATTTGTTGCCTCGACCCTAACTGCAGCAATGAGGGTCTTAAAGGTGATGGCCATGTTGACAAGTTCAAATGATAAAGCCATACGGCTTATCTTTCGAAATTCCCTGTTAAAGTCAAGCTACATTCTTGCAATATTACCTGAGAATCTTTTACTTCTCTACTTAGTTTGATTTTATAAGCACAGCATTCACGATATCAACTGAGTATTAGAATGCATTAAAAAAAACCAAAACTACAACTTACCAGTTATAGTCACATCCTTGAGGTCTTGACCATGTATAAGGCTCCCATACCTAGGCCCCCTGTGCTCTCTTCCGTACCCATATGATGGTAACGGAGACATCAACGGCCAATATCTTTCATCCTTACATATAAGTAAAAGTTGACTCAGTTGGTAAGAAATGCACCAAACTGTAAAAAGTAACAGAAAATTTTAAGTAAGAAAAAACTAGACCCGCATTGCAGCGGAAGGTTGAGCTAACTTCAGATAAACTAAAGATCAGTATGCCTTCATTTGACAGCATACACAGGTATATCTCTCAGTGGGAAACAACCATTTTTGACTAACATATCCATTCAAGCTTCATCCAAGACATACCAGATAAATTACAAAATACTGTTACTCCCTCTGTTTAACAATGTTAGTCAATTTAATTAGGTACACCGTTTTAAAATGTTTGTTCACTGCAGAAACCATGAGTAAAAATATTGCAGCTCTTCCACCATATGCACACCTATTTAGTGTTGTAAAAAGGGGCCACGATAAACAGAAAATTAAAGTATTAAGCATTTAAACCTGAATGTAAATGAACCACGTTGCACCACAGAAAGTTAAAAGTTTGCCATTGTAGTATGATATATGACGCTACGGTCTAATTACGTGACACTTCGTGAAGCGTAGCCCTATGTGCATAAACTTGTTAAAAAAAACCTTAAAATTCAGCAAAGAGATGGGGATTGCAGCTTGAAATGCCTCACCTGGACCCCGAGGATCTCAGCGCCGGCGGCGAGGAATAGCGTCATCCTACTGGTGAGGTTGAACGGCGCGGTCAGCCACCTCCCGGCGGGCACGACGAGCCTCCCGCCGCCTCTCTCCGCGATGGACGCCACCGCCGCCACGAACGCCTCGGTGTTGAGCGTCCGCCCGTCCCCGACGCCCCCGAACTCCCTCAGATCGTAGACCGGCGGCGCGGCCACCCACTGCCCCATCCCCTGGGCGGACGGCGCGCGCTTCGGCAGCAGCGGCGGGCGGGTGTAGAGCCGCGCGCGGCCCACCGAGGTGCTCTGCCACAGGAACACGAGCGCGAACCCGACCAGCCACAGCGCGAGCAGCACCGCCCTGTACGACGGCGAGATCGCCGCCGCGCCACCCCACCGCCTGTGGTGGTGCCGCCCGCCCACCCCGCCCGCCCGCGGCGACGACGCGACCGACGCCGAGGAGGCGGCGGCGCGCGGGGAGGAGGCCGCGGCGCGCGGGGAGGAGGCGACGGCCACCCCGGTCTCCCCCATCGGATCTGGCGCGCGGGATCTACGGCGCGCACCGGCTGGTCGTCTGGGCCCCGCGGCCCATGGAGCAGGGAGACGCGCGCTCGCGGAGGCGATGGCGAGGGCGGCGGCGGCGGCGGCGCTCGTCGGAGGAGCAGCACGGGTTTAAAAGGAGCGGGAGACGATGATGCGTGGAGACGGTGGAGTTGGGCCGGAACCACCACGACGGCGGCGGCGGTGGTGGCGGCGAAATGACCGAATTGCCCTTTGCCGGCCACTCGCGGCCTCGCACCGCAGCCGTTGGATCGACTCCACGAGCGGCGGCGGCAGGTCAACTAACAGATGAGAAGAAGAGAGGAGAAAAGCGGATTTGTAGCACAGACTCTCATACAATATGTGAACCAAGTATTAATAATGTGCTATATATTTACTTTATATAAAACTATTGTATTGATAGTTTATTAAAGTACGGTAGATGATATGTTAATTTTTAAAACTAGCAGTTGGCTAGATTAATTAAAGAGCATTGCTATTGTACTATTTTTTTCTTAGTAATTTTTTACAAACAATAATCTCGACCGTTTAAGTTAGGTAAATAAAAGTTATAAAATATCTACTCTAGATACACTCACGGCATGACACCTTGGTGTTAATAATTAAATAATAATAATAAGTTTGTATGTATAACAGTTTTCCTTAATTAAACTTGCTCTTTTTTTAAGAAACACAGTCCATAACACGCGCACACTTATCTTTATGAACACTATGAAAGTTAGACCGATATATCAATGTTAATAACAAATTAATAATAAAAAGTTTATATGTGTAACTTTTTCCTTAATTAATCTTGCTCTTACTAGCAGCGTGAAGCGTTCAGACCTCCACGCAGTGTAACCGACTGACAGTTCAGCTGAGGCTGACGGCCAACCTAGAAAGGTAGGTGTGGGCCCACAAGGCAGCGGGATGGACCAGCTTCCACGGGCCCACCTGCGCGAGGTTGGTCCAAGTCCACCGCTAGGTGGAGGTGCGGTGCGTGGTCGATTGGCACATGCGAGTGTGTGACATGACACGGATCGAAGAGATTCGTCGTCTCGTGCTCGTGTATGACACGGCCACATGATCGTACGAGACACGGATTTCACAAAATAGGGATTAATTTGGCCCCCCGTGCGTGACCATTGGCTAATGGAGGAAGTAACTGTTTGATTTACTTTGTCTTAAGTGTTCAGTTAGTCCGATGGAAGAGACCAACACAGATCGGATCAAATAGCGATCACACCACGGAGAATAGATACGTCTGTTTTGACTCCTTGTAGGAGTTGTTGGCTGGTCAGATCGCCACCGTTGGTTGCTTCATAGCATACTCCACTTTGAACCTTTGATCCGCCGGCCGGAAGAGCATGCTATGAGTTGGGCCGAGATTTACCGTTTACGCGAGAACTTATGGATTGGGCTCAAATGTGCTGTTTCGGCCCGTCAAATGGAGTGCAGAGTAGCATGCAGCAACTGTTTCGGCCTAATTGAAGTACTCGGAGGGAGTACTTGACTGGGCTCAAGCGGGCATTTGCAAAAAAAAAAAAAAAGCTAACGGGCGACCAATCGCGTGGGCCCTCTCTCGCGTGACTGGACACGTGTCGCACACGGAGGGGGCGGCGGACGGCGCCCACGCGGGATTTTCTTTTTTTTTCTTTCTCTTCCTTTTTTTCGGTTCTTTCTGTTTTGGTTTTTTTCGGTTTTATTCGGTTTCTCTTCTTTTTGTTTGGTTCTCTTTCTGTTTGGTTTTTTTTCGTTTTTTGGTTTCTCTTCTTTTTTCGGTTTTCTAAGATGTACGTATGCAAAGTTTATATTCGTATGTATACTAAGTTTTGTATTTTATTTTTTATTCGTGTATTTTTTTTCTCGGTTTTTAATATGTACATATACAAAATTTGTATAAGCGTATGCAAACTTTGTATACGCGTATACAAACTTTGCATACGTGTATATAAAGTTTATATATGTGTATGTACGGGATGCAAGGTTTGTATACGCGTATACAAAGTTTGTATTTGTACCTACGTATAAAAACCTAAAATAATACATATATATAAATTTTGTAAATGTGTATATAGACTTTATATACGTGTATACAAAATTGGTATACGTAGGTATAAAAACCAAAAAAATACATATATACAAACTTTATATGTGTGTATACAAACCTTGTATACATGTATACAAAATTGGTATACGTACGTATAAAAACCTAAAAATACACGTATATAAAATTTGTATTTGTGCGTATATAAAGTTTGCATACATAAGTATTAAAAACCGAAAAAGATATTGTCGACGTTGGATGTCGCAATTCTGGTATTTGCATAGTATGGGGATCATCGGTGCTAGGATATACGCGAGACTGAGGTAAAAGAGATGGAGACATGGATTTTTATACAGGTTCGGGCCCCTGAGTTACATCCTGTTGGCCGAAACCGGTATTGCTCTTATTCACCATAATCACACCAGTACAATATGTGGGTAGCCTTTCTAACTGTTGTCTACATGTCGGTCTGAAGGTCTGACTCGTAGTCGACAACAGGGTAGTCTTTCTCCTCGAATCTGTGCCCGGCGAGATCAGAGATAGCGCTTTTGTATCTCTTGACGGTATCCGGAGACACCGTAGGGGAATAGCCATGCCTATCCCTGAAGTCGATATCCGGCGGCGTGTCTTGGCGTATGTAGGCTTGTATGTTGTGGCTTCTAGTGGGCGTGTGTTGATTGTCATGGGTGTCTTCCATGGTCCTTCCTCCCTCTCCTCCTAGGGGGTCTTGTATTTATACCTATAGGTGTCTCCTTGTCCAAGTAGAACTAGAGAAACCAATATGGATACAATCCGAGTAGTCCTTGTCGTTTTCATGTAGAACTCTGATTGTCTTTCTTTATCCGGAACTCCCTAGAAGCCGGTTTCCGTATAAGATATGGTATGTGGTGGATCCTGCCGAGATTTAGTCAACTACTATTAGGTATGTGGTATCCATAACCATGACAGATATGGAAAGAAAAAAAACAGAAAAAAAACAAAACGGAAGGTACGGAAGAAAAATAGAAAAAACCAAAAAAAAAGAGAAACAAAAAAAAAACAAAAAAGAAACGGAAAACGCGGGCGCTCAAGAGAAACCGAAAAAAAACGGAAAATACGGACAATCCAAGCGACGCGCTGTCCGCCGCACTAGTAGTAGAGAGGAAAGACTAGAGGGGTTTGAACTAATCGCGCGGCGTGCAGAGAGAGCGACTGATCGTCCATTAAGGCTCCCCCATTTGCAATGGTAGTAGGAATTTCCAGGGTAGTAACACTAGTAACAGTATCGTCGTGCCAACATCATCGAACAAACTTTTTTTTAGACTAGAGGTTAGAGACCCGGCTTTTAGTAGAAAGCCACCATTGAACAAACATTTGATATTGTATAAGTTTGTAACTCCACTTTTAGCTGTCCCAAACGAAACACCCATTTTTTTCCCAGGACCTGGAAGCATAACACACAGCTTAATTTTTCTTTTAGAAGATACGTCACCTACCACTAAAAGAAAAATTAGTTGTAAATACAAACACTCATATTAAATCTATATCTTGAAATCATGTGATGCAGGGAAGGTTCTATCATGGCGCAGCCGGGCTCGAGCCATGTTAAGTCTATATCTTGAACTCATGTGAGGCAGGGAAGGTTCTATCATGAGGTGGTGGGGCCGAGTCTGCAGTATTGGTGCAAGGACTATGGGAGCTCTCACTATTTCTTTTTTTTTCATACATAGATGGAAAGCATGTTAATTTTATCTAGTTTGTTCAAATCATTTGCCTTTTTTTATCGGTTAATGTAAAGTGAGCTGATTAAAAAAAACAGTTATTCGATGCCTCCACAAACACATCGTTGGAAACGGAGCAGTCTGCTTGTCGCACAGTCAATTGATGGGATGTTTGGGAGAGAGGGGAAAACACCCCCTAAACGTTTAAAAAACAAAAGAAGGGGACATACTATCATCGACGCATCTGAATGCAAAAAAAAAAAAAAACAAAGACGTACGACTCGAGTGCTCGTCAGTCATCACGCGAGTACCGTGAAACACGCAAAAGCCGTAAAACCTTCGAAAAGGAAAAATTAAAGACGTATACGACACCGTAACGCACTCACGCTCACTATTCACTCATCATCACGAGCTCACGGCAGCACGGGAATGTGCGTATAGCGCCAGTAATTGGCGGCACGGCGCAAAGCTCCGATCGATCTGATAGATTACTATAGAGACAGGCTAATTGAGCACGAGCAGCTAATAGCTGGCCTAACCTGATTGATTACCTGACCCGACCAGGCCGGGGCCTACGCACTCACGGTCAGGTATGAGGATTGAGGAGGCGTGACCAACACTGGCACTGTAGCGTTGTGGCGCCTCGCCACCTCCACACGCGTGACACTGTGACGATGGATGTGATGATTGAGCTCGCTCTTGTGTCCTCCTGTTGCCCGGTGGGGCGGCGGGCGGGGGTATTTTTTAGGTTGGCATGGGTAGTAAGAAAGTGGGTGGGAATGATTGGAGAAGGTGTATGATTAGTTGAAAAGATAAAATAGGACTGTGTTTATTAGTTACTTGTTAAAAAAATTTTAACGTATACGAACACACATTTGAAGTATTAAATGTAGACTAATAAGAAAACAAATTACAGTTTCCGCCTGTAAACTACGAGACGAATCTATTAAGCCTAATTAATCCGTTATAAGAACTGTAACACCATATTATCAAATTATGGCGCAATTAGGCTCAAAAGATGCGTCTCGCAATTTACATGCAAACTGTGCAATTGGTTTTTTTCGTCCGTATTTAATGCTCCATATATGTGTCCAAATCATTGATGTGACAGAAAAGTTGAAAGTTTGAAGGGAACTAAACACAGCCTAGGTGAAGGAGAATGGTTGTGATTGGTTGAGAGGAGGAGATAGATGAAAAAATAGCTTTATTTTGGGACAAGGTATTGTGTGCTAGAAATAGTTACATTTTGGGACGGAAGAAGTAATAACTACTCCATCCGTCACATAAAAAATCTACTGGATGTGACACATTATAGTACTAAAATGTAGGATTGGATGTGACACATTATAGAACTGTAACATCCTAGTACTATAATGTGTCACATCCAATCTTAGATTTGTTTTTTTTGGACGGAGGGAGTACTATGGCTGATATATGGTGTCAGGTTCACATATTAGTCGCTATTATATATTTATTGTCTTCTACTTAAACATGTGTTAGATGTTAAAGGAAGATGATTAGTGTTGAAAAAGTATATATATGAATCTGAGAAGGCAAAACTTATTCGTATCACTTGCTACGAAACCATTTTCGCTTAAAACTATAGTACTCCATTTAATATCAAGTCCTCTTAGAAGGGGAGATCTTTGGCTTATATGCGGCGCAAAAACGATAAGCAACAATAGAGCACGATGCATGACTAATTAAGTTATTTAATTATTATAAAGTTTTAAAATAAATTTATTTGAAATTTAAAACGCTTACAAAAGGTCTTTTCACGTAACACACCGTTCAGTTTGGGAACTCATCTCTCCATCGTTCAGTTTGGGAACTCATCTCTCCATCCTAAAGGAACGGGCTGGGTGGAACAATCAATATTTGATGCTAATTAAAAAAGATAATGATTTAGTTTGTATATACTTTTTTTTCTTGTTATTTTTGCCGTATTGGTTTGATTAAGGAATTCCTTTCATTAACTATACCGCACTTTCGAAATACGATTTTCTTTAAAAAGAATTGGCATTAACATTACTTATGCGGATAACCCTTATCGATCTAAACCCCTACTTTAACGTATTTAATTTGTCCAAAATAACCATAATCGTGAGGATGTATCTAGATACCGTATTAGTATTACCCTGTAGATACATTTTTAGGATTAAATTTTTATAGACCGGATGGAGTAGGCTTGATCTCCTTGTGTGCATTTGCAGGGACGAATCTAAAGTAGAAGTGTCGGTGTTAGGCGACACCGATGACTTTCTATAAAATCTATAGCAAAACTGTTTAACTATGTTATAACACCATAATCTAAATAAATTTAGTATACTATGATAGCGATAGACACGTTATGTCACATACGAATCGATTTTCTGGATCAGTCACTGTGCGTTTGGTTGGCGTACATTGTGTTCATGTGGGTCGATTTATTCGTGTTTTATTTAATTAGCGTCCTCATAATCTCATTGTGTCATTGAGTTGCGTGCCCTATGGCACCATGGGATGACGCGAAATGAGGAAGCCTTGGTGCCCAGTATGTGCTTTTGTGGCTCGACGATCGTGGCGTGCATTCTGGCCAAACTAGTTTGCACGGTTTCGTTCTTCACTTTCAATTGTAAACTCGCTCTCTTGATTGCCCATGAAATATTTTGAGTTCGTGTGTGTTCAGGGCTAACCACTTAGACCACTAATTAGAATATATTTATGCCTTGTCTAGTAGGGTTGTTTCAGCTCCATTTATCTTAGATTCCAACTAAACGGTTTAACCTCTATAAAAAAAGAGCATAATGGGGTTTAGACCACTTCACTCCATACTTTGTTTTCGAAGTTACGACGGCCACATCAAACAGACTCTTAATTTTTTTCCATAATAAACTATTGGAGTACCAGTAATTAATAAGTATCCATTAACTTTTCATCCAAATCTCCTCCAAGAAAAACCTGACCTTCCCAAGTTCAAGCCAACAACCCTGACAGCCGCATGGACATACCTAGAGGTGGTAATAAATCCAATATTTTAGCCTATGAAATATGAGGGTTGAATAAAAAGAGTTAAACTAAGATTTTTTTTAGAGAGGGGCATTTTTATCTTGCCTCTATATCCAATCGGATATATGCATCCTCATTAAGAAACTTAGCCTAACGAACAGGTAACTTAGTCCTCAAATAACCCAATCTAAAAGGAACTTAGCTTTCAAATAACCCAATCTGAAATTCGCTCCTAGTGAGGTTACCGCAACCACTAGGCTTCATGCCCTTTCACAATCATTAGGTCTTGTACGTTTAATCCCTCCTATAAGAAAATTGAGGGAGTTTTAGAGGGGATTTATTTCATATCTATTGGGGTGAAATTATACCCCTTCAATTTTCTTCGTTCTCTTAAACTGAGGATTAACGAACAAGGCATTACGGTCTAGATGGGTTGTTTAACAGGGTTCATGGCCCCTAATCCATTACTGCCCCTACTCCCAGGCATACCGTATACGCTCGCCGCGCCGGCACGCCATTCCCTTCTCGTCAGGTCACGCGTCCGAAACCGACCACAGCTGGAAGCCGATCCGATCGAGATTCAGCGTGCTCGCGATCGGCTCCCCATCGGCTTAAACCCACCACACCGACCGGCCGCTCGCGGCAAAAGAAAAAACGTATCGCGCATTCGCACGCAACGTGCCATTTTTGCACACGGCCCGCGGTAATAAGGGAAATGGGCTGTAGTGTACTCCTCCAACCTTTTCGCGCCGGCTGTGGACCACCCGCGGACGCGATCCCCGCCTCGCGTCGTCGTCGTCCTCGCCGCCGTCGCTCTCACCACCACCACACTATATTAGCATTTGATATTTGCTCACGTGTTTCAGGCGTCTGCACTGCTACTGCTCGTAGGTAGCCTCGCTTGCCCCGCCCGTCACGACGAGCGAGGCGGAGACAAACGAGAGGGATTTTTAAAGGGCCCCGGGTCCAACGGGGAAGAGAGAGAGAGAGACAACCAGACGGGAGCTTGTCGGGGAGGAGAGAGAGAGAGAGTGGTGGTGGTGGTGGTGAGATGGCCGGCCGTGCGACGGCGACGGCGACGGCGGCGGGGAAGGACAGGTCCAGCTTCGCCGTCACCTGTAGCCTCCTCAGCCAGTTTCTCAAGGAGAAGAAGGGCGGCGGCGGCGGGCTGCAGGGGCTCGGCCTCGGCTTGCGGCCGGCGCCGGCGGCGCCGCCCGCCGCGGGAGCTGGAGGTAATAAGCGATTGTGTTCGTCATGCGATTAAATTAGCAGCGACTTGTTTTGTTTCTTACCACGTATGGGGTGTTGGTCTTTGCAGGTGCTTTCCGGCCGCCGCCGACCACCATGAACTTGCTGTCGGGGCTCGACGCGCCGGCGGTGGAGGTGGAGCCAAACACGGCGGAAACAGCGGCCGACGAGCTGCCTCTCATCAAGGCCCCGGCCGATCAGCAAAGCGACGAAAGTGCAAGGTACAAACAATCTCTAGTACACTCTGCATCCTGACATCTCACGATCTCAAACAAACTCTCTCCTGTTCATTAAAAAAGAGTAGTAAAATGAACATAAAACATGTTATCCTGACTTGCAACTTGCATCCTTATACAATGTCTAGAAGAAGAAGAAAACACACTTAATTTTTTGGAGTAGAGATAATTTGGTTGCAACTGTCTCTTTGGTTCTTTCTTCCAGTGAGGCAGCTGGAGAGAAGGCTCAACAGCTGACCATCTTCTACGGTGGAAAAGTAGTCGTCTTTGAGAACTTCCCGTCCACCAAGGTCAAGGATCTCTTACAAATCGTAAGCACAGGCGATGGCGTCGACAAGAACACCGGCACCGCGGCAACGCAGAGCCTGCCCCGACCCGCACACAACAGTCTTCCCGGTAATAACAACTGTTCATTCTTTTGCAGTTTTACATTTTACCATCACAGTGCTAATTAATTTCCATCTACTATGCTTAAATTTATCTACTACATGTGAAACAATGTAGGAATCCTTAACGAATGACTGATTTTTGATTTGTTACAGATCTGCCGATTGCAAGGAGGAACTCGCTCCATAGGTTTCTCGAGAAGAGAAAGGGCAGGTAGGTAACTGAGTGGCTTTCAACTTCTATCTGAAATACTTGCCTTTCGCTGTCAAAAACTGGCTGTCAGACCAAGTTTATGGCCCTAAAATTCTCCATGCTCTTCAACCACTCCAGGATGAATGCAAATGCTCCATACCAAGCTAACTGCACCGCTGCACCGTCCAAGCAAGCTAACGGTGACAAATCTTGGCTTGGGTTTGGCCAAGAGATGACAATAAAGCAGGAGATATGATATGACCTCTTAGCTTACAGTTCACTGTCAAGTGTCAAGTGATCTGTGGGGAAGAGATGCGTGGTTGGCTGGTTGCTAGTGCTAGTGTATTCCCCCGTAGCTTCAAAGCATGAATAATTACTCAATACTACTACATTACTACTAGTAAGAACTTAATCAATACTAGGAATCAAGCTGGTGGTTAATTCTGCCTGACCATTGGCATCCTGGAATATATATAAGCACACACACGGGTTGTTTGTTCTCCACATTGTTTGCTGCTGGAGCCGTATGCTCACTGCAGTTTATATCTGTCTAGCTGGTTACCCACCTCAGCCTCACCATGTTTCGGGAATAAACACTGTGTATGTGCAAATTCTTCATTTCTCGTTCGGTTTCGCCGTATAAATTACATTGTTACTATTTTGGCTCCTTGTTGCTTGAGGATTTATATGTTTAATATGGGACATATATTTGTGTCTTATTTTTTTTTAATCTAGAGAGATATTTGTCTTTTAATTTACTGGGACATCTGCCCTTTTATAGATGTGTTCGAACAATGTAATGCATTTGGCACATGCATGTTTCCATATGCCGGTTTAACATGTTTGTTAGCTAAAAACAGCAAAACCTGTTCAAATTCAGCTAAGAAATGTTGAAATTTTTTATCAGAAATTTCAGTTGTTACTCTGAGTGATGCATTTTTTTTGAAAAAAAATTCACAACGCTAAACCCTACTGTGGTATTGCTGTCCCTTTGCTTGCATGTTTTGAAAGAAGAATCAGACTAGACTAGTTTCTCCTCTGCTCTGATCCAATGATCCCTGCTAGTTTTTACAAGTGCAGTATCCATTTCGTTCAAAATTCCTTACCTGAAAGACCATGTTGGCCCTTCGAGGAAACTCGAGATTCTAAGTAGCTAACTGGTGAGAATTTTAAAAAAAGCTTTTGACTTTTAGATCTTTTTTTACATTCTACACCTATGAATCCTTAAAATAACTAGACTGTTTGAAAAGCTGAAAATTACAAGAGAAGCAGTAGGTGCCAGAAACAACTCCCTCAAACAAAACCTAAACATATATGGCCTTGTTTGGATCAATAGCCCTCCGGAATCTTGCTATTTAAGGAGTATTAAACGTAGATTACGGACAGAACCCATTCCATAACTTCTAGCCTATTTTGTGAGACGAATCTAACGAGCTATATTAATCCATGATTTGCTACAGTGATGCTACAGTATCAGCCGCTAATCATGGATTAATATACATCATTAGATTCGTCTCGCAAAATAACCTAGGGGTTATGGAATCAGTTTCGTCGGTAATCTACGTTTAATACTCCTAAATAGCAAGATTCCGGATGGCTATTTAATAGCTCGGAGGATCCAAACAAGGCCATAAGCTTCCTCAAACAAAGCCTAAACAAGATAATAATCTGATCCTTTTCTTTTCATATATATCGGTATAGTTTCTAATTAAAAGGACAGTTTAAACAGCTCATAGCTCATTCCATCCCCTGCCTCCATCGAGGGATCATCTGGACTTTCTGGAGTAGTACTGGACAACATATTCCGTGTGAGTACGGCCTCCGCAATTGCATCTTCAGTCCTGCACCCAGGCCATCAGGGCACCGTGCTCCTTGGAAAATCGATCAGACGCCATTTGGCGTTGCCGCTTCTTCCAGGAAACTGCCCATTTGTCGTCGACTGGGGTAGATGCGGGCAACCGGAGATTATGGATTTTTATGGTAGAGAGAGAGAGAGAGAGAGAGAGAGAGATCGGTGGTCCATTGCACCAAACGCGGTTAAATTTCTCATCCCGTATTCATCGCCCAAGGGCCGTGCGATTGGTCTAGTCCGGAGTCCGGACTCCTGCCTGACCGGCCATGAATCATTGACGACTAATAACTTCGTGGCCACAAGAAACACATGCTCACTTTGATGAAACGCAAATTATTGGGAGCTCAGCTACTCCAGTCCCTGTGTAGATTTCAACTTTTTTCTTTAAACCTACAACTTTTCAGTCACATCGAACTTTCCTACACATACAAACTTTCAATTTTTCTGTCACATCGTTCTAATTTCAATCGAACTTCCAATTTTGACGTGGAACTAAACACACCCTCATAGTTCTACGCTAAAATTGGAAGTTTGAAGAAATTTGAACGATATGACGAAAAAGTTGAAAGTTTCTATGTGTAGAAAAGTTCGATGTTACGTTTTTGGGATTCAAACTTGGCATCTAAATATGGCCTCAGTCTGTGTAGATATAACATCTTCTTTAGGGGCTACATGTACTGAGCAGTGAGCAAGAACCTCATTGTTCATCGTTGTTATGATTATCAATTCATCTTAGAGTTTGTGTCGATTACAATATCGTAGGCCGCCTAAGAGTTGTATTAGATGTTAGAAAAAAATGTAGTAGAACTTTTAATCTACGCTATCTCTTGAATGAAATTAAAGCAAACTAAATGAGACACATGATGTATCGCGTGAATGACAATAGGGTAGGTGTAGAAATGGGTAGTTGAGGTATTTACTGGTCAAAAATCGTTAATACTATGACATGTTGTAATTATGTTGAATCTGGTTAAAGCGTTTGTAATTAGCTCTAAGTAGATGTCGGGTTTGGCTAAATATTGTTAATAAATACCGTGTCTTGATGTCATCGTTAAATATGGTTTTTTTATTTGGTTACTAAGGTATATGTCGATGCGAGTTTGATAACTATTCATGCACCACCCCCTCCCCCCGAGAATGCTAATGGGCGGGTGATCGCTCCCCCATCTGCCCAGCGATCACCCGCCCGCCCCCTCCCCTATACGATACACTCCTCCCTCCTCTCTCTCCTTCCTCCTCCCCTTCTTCTCATCCTATTACAGTACACCACACAAATTTTTTTAAAAGAACAAAAAGTTAGAAAAAATTATGTATAGAAATACTATATATAAAAAATTTGAATCGGGTATGTAAACTTTTGACTTATAAACTTTGGGTCTATAAACTTTAGGTGTATAAACTTTTAGATGTATAGAAATACTATATATTGAAAATATTTGAATTCAAATTCAAATTTGAATCGGGTATGTAAACTTTTGACTTATAAACTTTGGGTCTATAAACTTTAGGTGTATAAACTTTAGATGTATAGAAATACTATATATAGAAAATATTTGAATTCAAATTCAAATTTGAATCGGATATAATTCAAATTCAAATTTGAAACGGGTATGTAAACTTTTGGGTTATAAACTTTAGGTCTATAAATTTTAGATGTATAGAAATACTATTATAAAAAAAATTTTGAATTCAAATTCAAATTTGAATCGGATATATAAACTTTTGACATAAACTTTTGGTCTCTAAACTTTAGATGTGTAAACTTGAGGTGTATAAACTTTAGGTATATAAATTTACTAAAATAGGAAAGTAATGCGGTGCCAAAAAAGGAAACCAGGTGGAGGGGTGAAGGGAGGGAGGGGGGAGGGGATCGATCGCTACCCCCGTCTCCGGACGATCGATCGCCCATTAGGATCCCCCCTCCCCCCCTAATGGCGAGCTCGCCCTGGCCGTTCTCGCTACTCAGTCGCGCGAGTTAACTTTTCTCCGCATGAAGTCACACACTCATCGTGCAAACTCGTGATGACATCACTAACACGTTATGAATTTGCTCACTCACTTTACGAACTCACTGCGAGTTCGTATTCCCGCTGTGCGACAATGGTATATTTCTGCCAATTCCTTCTAAAAATATGTATATTCCTGTAAAATCGGTGAAAGAAATGTATAATTTTAATTTATTTTCCGTTATTTAGTTAGCCTCCTACCGTGCCATGTCAACCATTTAGGGGCGGGAGCATGTGAATTTTGAGTCTAACAGTTAACAATCCGCATTGCAAAGAAGGTGGCAACGCGAGGTTCAAGGTATCGGATCACCATTGCTGTGATCTGAGAAAGTCAGAATGTGATCGAGCCGCCGATCGAGCTGATGGTAACGTGACCATCGTCCGTATCGCGCCGTAGGGGAAAAAAAACCACCGGTCACGTTTTTCAGCTACGAGTTACTCCATCTAGGAGTACAACACCAGTAGTAGTTCAGTGCGGTTGGTCGTTGCCTTAGATCTTATTTAGATAAAAAAATTGATCAAAAACGTCACATTAAATATTTAGACACATGCATATCATATTAAATGTGGGGAAAAAAAACCAATTGCACAGTTTGCATGTAAATTGTGAGACGAATCTTTTGAGCCTAATTACGTCATGATTTGATAATGTGATGCTACAGTAAATATTTGCTAATGACGGATTAATTATGCTTAATAAATTCGTCTCACAGTTTACAGACGGAATCTGTAATTTGTTGTGTATTAATCTACGTTTAATACTTCAAATGTGTATCCGTATACTTTATAAACTTTACACCCACACCTTCATGCCAGTGGTGAGCAGAGGCAGACAGATCATCACTGAGCACACAAAAAATATCTCGGTAACACACCGCTAACGCTGTGTGTGTGACGAATTTGGCTAACTTGTCGATCGATTTCTGTCCGGCCGGTGAGTACAGCGTCGTCTCGTGGTGCACGTTAAGCCAGGTTGTCAGGATCGGGGCAGTATTATTTTTTTAAAGTAATATCGTATCGTAGAATCGGGATACTATGAGATTTCTTTTTTTTTCAAAGTTTAATTAATATTTATATTAATTATATATAGCCATTATATATTAAAAAATATAGTAATGATATATATCATGCAAATAGAGACATTTATCAAGAGAAACCATGTTGGTTTGATATATTTAACTGATTTTTATATAAATTTGAGCATGTTTATTTACATTATTTTCAAACCATGTTATTTTAAATAATATTTTATAGTATCGTAGGGATCGTAGAATCGGGATATCACCTAAGATTTCGTAGGATCGTGTAGTAATGAATAGTAGGATCGAGATACTATGAAAATTAGGATATTAGGTGGAATCGGTATTGTTTCGGCTTGATAGGATCGTAGTATCGTTAGATAGTAGGATACGAATCAGGATACTGACTACCATGACGTTGAGGAAGACATGAACCGTACGAGCATGAATGCTAGTAGTAGTAGTAGTAATAAGGGGGCAAAATGGCTCACATAAAGTCGCGGGGGATAAAGACAGCTCGATCGATCGGTCGATGGTCCCTAAACAAGGAAAATGTGCGCCCGCACGCTCCATAAGCGGACAAAACGCAAGTTGTTGCTTCCGTTCAATGCAAACCGATGGTTGGCTGGCCTGGTGACCACGGGTATGTTTCGGAGAGCTTCTAGCAGCTGCAGGTTCATTTAGAATTTTTATTTGTCAAAAGCTCCTTAAACAGTTTAGCTTTTTTCCCAGATTCTGAGAATATGTAATTGTAAAATCTGAAAAATGAGCTAGAAGCCAGAAGCTGGGTTTCCAGCTTCTCCAGATTCTCACCAGCTAGCTTCTCAGCAGCTGCTTCACAGAATTTTAAATTCCCTAAACAGGCCTAAAGTTGGCTTCGTCAGGTATAGTGGCATGCATTTCTCGTGACTAATGGCCGTACCAGCTGCTGCCCGCTATGCTATGCTATGCTTTAGTGCTAAGACTATTCATGGTGTCTATACGTACGTCTCGTATAACCACAAGTTGCCACATCAGAGATTTCCCTCCATTCCGTATAGCTCTGGGCGTGCCCTTGCGAAGAAACTCGTCCTCCCGCAAGGGCATGCATGGATGCCCCACTGTGATGCGGTCTCCTCCTCTCCCCTTCAACCCAGCCTACCTAGTAACCAACCTCTGGCGTGAAGCTTTGAGCGATGATAGCAAGAACGAGCACGTCAAGGAGAAAGAGAGACCTCCTGATAATCATTATCAGCTAATGACAGCCCTAACCATACCGTTTTTCTCCGTTTTTAGATTTTCTTTTTGGATATCCTACTTAATTACACGTGTACGTTAGCTGCTGTTGGCTCCTCGGTCCCCATCGGTTGGTCTAATCTTATTATAACCTATAACGACTTATTAGTGATTAAAAAATAATATGTGAATATATATATATATATATATATATATATATATATATATATATATATATATATATATATATATATATATTCTTAGTGGTTGAAAAGCCAAAGTTAAAAAAAAAACTATGTTGAAAAAGAATCAAATTCAAATTCAAAATTAAGTTTTAAAATTTAAATTTTGGCTTTGGCTTATAAGCCATAGGGCAAACGATGAGGCCCCTCGTGCGGCGTCTTTCATGGGCGATTTCCGGTGCGCCAATCTTTTATACCGATTGCAAAGTTCTAACACTGCCAAGTGATTGGGCCACGTGGCGTCCTAGGAATTAAGCTCTACCCCTCTGAGAATCTGCCACGTGTTTCCTTGGCTCTTCTCCTGCACCGTTCGATCACGTATCATCATCATCATATGTTCTAAAACCGTTCGGCTGAAGTTTGATTATATGTTGCTCTTTGGTGCGTCGACTGGCTCTGGTCCGTATCCTTCACTCCCTCTGGAACAATCTAGCTGGCTACGAAATACAAGGCACACCGAGCGCACGCTGTAGCTTCTCGGATTTGTGACACCGTTGCGTACGTTGTGTGTTACTCTCCGGTAAATCGCATGAGTAGGAGGCTAGGAGCGAACATAAATACAGCATGTAAAAAGCGGAGGAAAATGAAAAAAAAACAAGAACTAAATAAAAAAACACTACTCTTTATTTTTAATAGATGACGCTATTAACTTTTAGATATTACGTTCAATCATTTGTTCTATTGAAAATATATAAATTATACTTAAAAAAATCTTTAATGATAATAAATGATGCTTGCATAGTTTTCTTAACAAGACAAATGCGCAAACACCACATTTAAAAGTCGACAATATCATCTATTAAAAATTGATGGAGTATTTTGAATTCTTGGATAAATAGAATATATTGCATTATAAGTCAAAAAGACAAATATAAAATTGGCGAAAAGGACGTGTCATCATTAATATCCTATATTTTTACAAGAAACAATAAATAGAAGAATAAATGACCCATCTAAAAGATCGGATCCAACTTTACATTCTGAAGAACCATATTTTAAATATTTGTTGTACATTGTTTCTTTCGTTCTAAAATATAAAAGTATCTAGCAAATTTAAAACCAATCAAAGCTGGAAGACAAAAGTCTGAAATGGCCCACATTAAACAAGCAGGACCACTCCTGATTGGCATAATTACCAGCCGCTATTGAGCTAATCCATGCTGATTGGTGGAAAGGCTTTGCTTGGTTAATCCTTTCAATATCTCTTTTTGGATTAACAGCCTTATACGGTTGCACCTATTAAACTTATAGAAGATTTTATATTTTAGATGAAAATTTAAATGCCAGAAGCCCGTTTATTTTGGGACCGAGATGGAGGAATATATTATTAGTAAAATGCAAAACTGTCAGATTTTGCTAAATCACTACAACATGGGCTTAAACAACAAAATTAATGACAAGCATAAATTACTACTTCCTCCGTCCCATTATAAGTGCAGCCATAAGTTTCCGTACCAACGTTTAACCGTCCGTCTTATTTAAAAAATTTATGAAAAAATTTTAAAAGTTAAGTCACGCATAAAGTACTATTCATATGTTATCATTTAATAACAATAAAAATACTAATCATAAAAATATTTCAAATAAGACGGATGGACGGATGGTCAAAGTTGGACACTGAAACCCACAACTGCGTTTATTGTGGGCGCTAATTATGGGGCAGACGGAGTATCCTACTTTGATTCGTCTTATGTTTCACCAAATATAAAATTAAAATCAATTAGGAGGTCCATCTGAATGCATGGTTTTTATAGATATCAAACTAGCTCATGGACTTTCAAATTTAAATATCTATGTTGTAGATGAACTCACGGGCCATAAACTAAAGCGCACCAACTGGTGCGCCTATTTTCTAGTCAATCCTAATTTTGGGCAAAGTGGGGTGTGCATGCGTGCCGGTCTCCACTGCGGGGTGGAACCGGTTTTCATTAATAGGCAATTTTGCAAAAAAAAAACAACACATATTTGTATGAAATATCTCATACGTCCTTGGACCGGTTAACACCCGTTGCGTTTCTTCCGGAAAAGCCCTCCTATTTCACAGAAATACAATACGAAGAAGAGAAAATTCCACTTCTAGGGATAGCGTTGTAAACATAAAAAAGGAAGGGACTGTTTCGAAAAAACAACCACATCTACCCCAAACCCTAGCCCATGCGGCCGCCACTCCACTCGCGCCCGTGCTCCCCCGCTGCCATCCGCCCTCCACCCACCGCCGCCGATGTCGTCCGTCCTCCCCCCACTCTCCGTTGCACATCCTTGTGTCACCACCGCTCCACCTCCATACCCCCATGCTGTCGGAAAGGGTAAAGTGTAGGGGCAAGGATGGCGGCGCACAAATCCACCGCCCCCCGTCCTCGGGAGCGACAGAGGCGCGCGGATCCGGCGGCCTCTGTCTTCTGAAGCAACCAGGTACGAGTGGGAAGGACCACGGCGTGCGGATCCAGCCACTCTAGCGTGCTCCCCATGCCACCTCAGCGCCGCCCCCGCCACGGTGACAGCGCCAGCCACTTTGGCGCTTCAAAAAGGACCATTTCTGGGATAAGTTTTTTCAGTGGTCTATTTACGAAATAAGTTTTTTAAAAGGACCAAATTGTAAAAATTCCAGGGTAGATGTACAGGTAGTAGTGCTTGGCTCCAAGCACCAAATCGTGAGACGCGCATACCAGGAGGTAGAACGCGACCACGAGCTCAGGAATGTAAATCCTGCAAGGGTGAAAAATCAGATAGACATGTAGTTTCAGGCATGAATTTTCAGTTTTTCACTGCTCTGCTATCAGAGGATAACTGGTATGATCGTAAGTAATGTTTTTACCTCTCGACGCAGTCTGTTGGCTTCAATGGTTCAAGAAGAGGGACTTCAAGCTTGTCCTTTACATGATCACCAACCTTCTCAGTAACCACCCACTGATTGACATTCATGGTCTCGAGCAAGCCTGTTAGAGCTGCACGCATTCGGTGCATGGCCATGACATTCTCAAATAGAATCTAAAAAGGCATCAGATGGAGAGACCTGGTATATATTAGATAAAATCTGTAATCTTGGAAAATTGATGGGCAGATTGAGAGACATTCTCTGCAGGAAGAATTCATTCTTACCCAGGATTTCTGATGGCGTTCATGATGGTAATGGCAGTGGGAATGCAGACCATCCCCCAGACAGGAATGCTGATTTCAGGGACCATGACAGACAGCGGAATCACAACACGGTAGAACAGGAAGGTCAGGATGGGAGCGACGACCCTCCTTACGAAGAAAAAGCTGTAGAGTAGATGAAGTTTTTTCCATACAGATACGCCCTGAATCACATATAATCGGGTAAAGAAACTTATTGCATGACAATCCTGTAACATGTTCCATTCTGTCATATTGAAGAAGGCTAGCCTTGTTTTTGGCAATTTCCGTTGCATTTTTCTGAAGAGGTTGGCAGTACCACAAGTCCATCTATGCTGCCGATGTCGGTAGGCTTTGAAGGTACTTGGGAGTTCACTCTTAACCTGCTCAAGATTCATTATTAAAACAGGGTAAAATATTCATATATGCTTATTAAAGGATCAACATATACATACCCTTATATCACCAACATACAGGAATTGCCATCCCTTGAGGCTTGCCCGTACAGGCGTACAGCCAAGTCCATGTCTTCCACAGTTGTGTGATCCTTCCAACCTCCTGCTTCGTTAATAGTAGCTGATACCCGCCACACAGCAGCAGTACCTGTAGGCAGATCAGTGATGTTAGGACCAGGCATGATTAGTTCACGTAAGTAGTTCTGATATTGGATCTTACCGTTGAAGCCAAAGAATGAATGCATAGATGAGCCTGATTCCTGCTCTACTTTGAAATGATAGTCCAGTGACATCTTCTGTATCCTTGTCATAAGGCAAACATCATAGTTCACTGCAAAATTGCCCAGCAAAGGCCAGGGCAGAACAGCCTGTAATCAGAATGAACAAAGATTCTCACTTAAAATAACCAAATAACACCACATTACCCATTGAAAACTTGAACAAATTGCATCAGAGAATTAACAGTTATATCCAAATTATGGGTTTTCTGGGACCCGACAAAATTTACTTTTTAATAACTTAAAACGGTGCAACATTGGATGTGCCCATTTTTCCGATAAACTTCCTTTCATTTTCATTTAGTGCTATAAGGCTATAAGCTCTTCATAGTTCAGTCTATTTGATGAACATGATCTGAGAGTTTAGTAGACAAGCAATACATATAACAGTTGAGTGACCAATTCAACAGAAACATAAATCGGACTATCAGACCAACAACTGAAGCACCGCTATTTAATTTGATTACCCTCACAAGGTTGGAATGAAACAATGAAAATACTTGCTTACCAAACTCCCAACGTGTCTGAACCAGACCAATCTTAGGGTTATGCACAAGAAATGGTATTATTTTTAGAAGGAAATCAGATTCAGGTTGGAAATCTGCATCGAAAATGGCAACAAAATCGCACTGTTGGGTATAGATATGTTCCATGCCCTTCTTCAAGGCTCCTGCTTTGTATCCCTTCCTGTTATCTCTGATTTCATACTTTATGTTAATTTCTTTTCTCGCCCAATCAATGCACTCAAGCTCCACTAGATCCTGCATTTGACCAAAATCTAAGTAAAGAAACCAAAATCATATTTTAAGCTCTAACTCTAAATAGAAAATAATGATGGATTGTGAAAATATCTTCTGTGAAACATGAATTAACTGCATGCTCTCCAGGAAACTGATGCATCACAGTAACACACAGCCACCAATTCACATGTTTCCAGTTCATTTTTCATCACTACACTATACTGTCCTATCTACAGCAATGCATCTCTATCTTTAACAATTTGTTGCTGCTATCTTGGCAGGAAGCCGTACTGCGAGACCGGAACTTCGAACGCCATCATCTTCTCCCCTCGAGCAAACCCGTTGCGGTCGTAGGACGAGATCTCGGTGATGTCCAGCTCCTTGCACGCCCTGATGAGCTCCTCCCCGATCCTCCCAGCTGCCTCCTGTCGCAACAAGGCCAGCTCAAGATATTACTATTACTTACAAATGAGCAGTGTCTGTTTAATTACTAGGTGAAATTCGGGGAGGAAAAAGTGGCCGGCGTACCACGGCGCCGCAGGGAGGGTCACCGCAGATGGCCTTCTGCAGGGTGCTGCCATAGAAGAGGATCTTCTTGTTGTGGTCGTCGACGAGCATGGCATAGAGCTGCCTGTTGGAGCAGAACACGGATAGCCTCGGCTTCGTCGCCGTGCCATTGAACTGCAGCGCCGGCGGCGGCAAGAACCATGTGAGTTGTGAGCAGAAGAGCGACTGGTGGTTAATTTGTGATTTGTGCAGTTGAGCTGGGGTGGATGGAATTGAACCGTACCTTCTTCTGCAGCCGGCGGTTCCTGACCTTGGGGTTCTCCTTCCTCGCGCCGTGCCTCGCCGTGGCCTCGATCCTCGGGTACGCGCGCCGGCGAGCTACTCCGCCGCCGCCTGCAGAATCCAGCGGAAAGAAAAGGAACACGCCAGGTGCGAAGCGCGGCGGGAACACGAAGCCACGCCTGGAGCCTGGCGAGCTGGGAGGGCGGCAGCACGCCGGGCGCGGCGAGAATGGCAGCCCGGTTGCCGCGCGGAGCGATGCCATGGGGAGACCTGGCTAGCTGCTTGGGGTGGGCAATCTGTCGAGCAGGTGGGGCGCGGAATCCCGGGGGGAGCTCTACAGTACCCGAGATTAGGATTTATGAATGATATTTGTCCTCATTTCTGGGGCCCCACCTGTCACCTGAAAGGTAATCTTTATATACGATTTCAGGGGTGGAAATGAGGCGTTTGATTGGGCCACGTGGCTCACTGATTATTTAGGGTTAGTTCATCTGAAAATCAGCCACGTGTCCCTGTGCAATCTCAGATAGTCAGATCAGTAACTTCTCAAGCTGGCCTGTCTTCTCCTACCTGATTGGTCCACATGGACTTACAAAATGTTGACACGTGGAACAAAGACAAGATGCAGCCTGCAGCTAGCCTGCTAGCTACGCTCTGCTTTCATGGTTACAATCCTCTAGATACTTCCAAGCTCGTAGAAGTATAGTCAATAAATTAAATTAAGAACACCTAGATCCTTTGGATGATCTCAAAAATATTAACCCTAGAATAAACATTACACAGCGAAAAACGATACAGCACAAAATTTAGGAAAAACTAGGAGAAATACCATAAATTGGAAAATGAATAATGACATGTTATAGTGAAAAAATAGTTGTCAAAAGAAATAATAAGGCCAAGACTTTCTTTTGAGAAAAATCAACAACTCAAGTCTAGAGTCTAGATGCTTTTGAGCTAAGGGTACAAGCGGCTACCCACAAAAACCCACTTATAGGCTAAACTAACCTGCAAACTCGCTTATTTTGACCTATAAGTGGGTTCGCGGGTGACCCGCTTGCACCCCAATTTTGAGCGGGTCTTTGAAACTGGAGCTCAAAAAATAAATAGAGAAAACAATGGAAAATTAAAATGTAAAAAAAAACAGATCTCTAAAATTGAAGCTCCAAAAAAAAAGATAACACAACCGAAAATCAAAATATGTAAAAAAAAAAAAGGGAGCTAAAAAATAGAGAAACAAACCAAAATCCAAAATGTAAAATTTAACAGCGGAGCCTCCTCTACTGTGTTCCTTAAAAAAATCACAATGTAAAAGAAAAAGAAAGCACCCATGGATATCAGTTGCACTGTATAGCTCTGACGATTTCAGATGCTAGATGTGGTCGATTGACTATGATAATAATTGAAAATCCAACAGCTCGCAAACAAAATTTTCCAATTTATGAAAGCTACACGTAATTTCTTACTGAACATGCATTTTTAAATAACAAGTAGGTAACATAATAAGGCATATATTACTATTGTATTTCCACTCTCAACCTTTGATAATTAAATTAATTATGTAAAGACTTGCAAAATTAATCTGATCATGTCACAGGCTATAAATTTTGAAGCACGCCAACTGGCGTGCTGATGATTTTTCTAGTACAAGGCTTAAGCAAGGGAAATCGTAAAATGCCCCCTGAGTAAACGCCAGGTCAGGTTTATTCTTTCCGTATCCATCTTGTGCTCTCTCTCACCTCAATTAATTTCAAACCCCCGTCAAAAACTACTCACGTAGTACAAGTACAACTACAAGCCAACCCGCTTGCGCTTTGCCCACCATTTCCACACCCGCCCAAAGCTGCGCGCCCTAGCAACGCATGGAGGGGCAGTGGGGGCGGTGGCTCGCCGCAGCAGCCGCCTCCTCCTCCATTATATATTAGTAGTATATATGAATTTAATGTGAACATACCAAATAATTAATCAATGAAAAATTTAATACTAATACGCAGCATGGTCAAACCGGTACACATACATAAAAATAGTCATTTGCATACTGGTATTATCAGTGATGTCTTTGTGACCAAAACTTGTGACCTTGATGATCAATGGGGACCAAGCAGCATGTGACCTTTATTATTAATCCAAACAGATGAATTACTGATCCTCACATTATGCACCAACTTGTGACCTTGATGAATCAGCATGTGGACTAGTGCATGCACGTGTGCTGCACTCTTGCCGTATGCGTGTACCGATCAATGTATGTTGTGGACAGACTTGCCGTATGCGTATACCATGCATGTACATGCCCTAGCAATACTAGGAAGCCATAGAAAAAATACAATGGAAATAAAGGATGGGATTTGTGCCTTACCACGGCGGGCACTCAGACGGAGCCATAACCCCCAAAATCCAAACCCTAGACAATCCGATCTGCAACAAAACCAACCAAATCTAAGACAAATTGTTGCCAAATTGAAGAAGAGAAGGGGGAAACGGATTTATCTCATACCTCGTTGGCCGTCGCAGTGCCGCCGCCGGTGAATCGACAGCGCCGCCGCCGCCGCAGGAGTGAGGCTGGGACGAGTGAAAATGAGACTGGAGAGGGGATCTGTAGTTGAGGCGCTGGTCGAGGAGGAGAGGATGGGCGCCAGCCAAGGAAGAGAGGCGCCGGCGTTGGAGGAAGTGGCGATGGTGAGGAAGGGCTGGCGGTGGCGGAGGAAGCGAGGCGACGGACTCTGCTCGTGCGTCACGGAGGCTGGGAATGAAGAGAAGGATTTGGTTTTTTTTTATTTTTTTTAGAATGGTATGTGGGACCCTGAACTGAACCTGTGGGTCGTTGATTTTAGATTAAATTGCATATTGTGCCACCTTTCTTTACCCTCTTTTCGGGAGTGAGGGTTGAGAACCCTCACTTTTCGGCACACAAAACGAAGCAGCGTTTTAATACGTGATTAATTAAGTTTTAGATATTTTTTTCAAAAATAGATTGGTATGATTTTTTTAAGCAACTTTCGTATAGAAACTTTTTACAGAAAACGCACCGTTTAACAGTTTGTAAAGCGTGCGCGCAGAAAATGAGGAGGAGGAGTTGGGAACTTGTACTACCGAACGGAGCCTTACTATTGTTTCAACTTGAACTAGGGTAGAGTAACCTTTCCACTTTGGACCATCTATATTTACATGTTTCATTTTGGGCTCTTCAACCTTCAACTCCATCGGTTTTCTATCCGCTCTCCCTGAATTGCACGCCACACTCATCCTCAAGCTCTGCTGATGCCACACTATCTCAAGTCCCGCTGTTTGCCATACTCTACCTCGAGCTGGAGCTTGACCTCCCAACTAGGAGGTCGATCTCCTTTCCAAGCGGGTGGAGGTGACTCCGACGGAGCTTCGGCACGAATATAGCGCTGGTGATCACTTGTAGGCCTGCTTGTGGTGATACTTCTAGCCCTTTGCAGTCAAGATTGAGAGAAGAAATAGAGACAAGAGAGAGGGAGTTAGATGTGGAAGAAGAGGCCCAAAATAAAACAAACATGTAAATTTAGGTGGTCCAAAGTGAAAAGATTGTTCTATCCCTGGTCCAAATTGACACGATGGTAAAGCAAGGTGGCTCAAAGTGCAATTTGCTCTTGATTTTATTAGCTGAGACCACGGTGCACTGTGGGGAATTGAAATATGTGATGCGTGGCTTCATTCACTTTTTTTTTGTCTATGTAGAGCACATGTCCACATGAAAAAAAGTGGATGCATTGCTAATGCACTTATGAGTGAGAGGGGCATAGGCAAGATGGACATTTCGCGTTCCATTGCCACCTTGGTTGGTGGTGTGGCAGCCGGGGCCCTGAAATTGGGTGTAAAATGGCATATTAGAGCTGATTTGTGGGGACCGGGGGGCAAATTATCTAAGTTATTTAGAAAGATGGCATTTAGGAATGCTACATCGAAGTGAATGCAAATAGTCCAAAATCTCGGTTAAGTTAGGCGATTAGCATCAGACATTCAGAATTTCGGACTGAAACCTTTATAAACCAAAACTGCAAAGTTCCTACATTGGATTTATAGTTAACAAAGTTTATAGTCAATAAAATGTCAAAGTGAGGAGCCTAGTGGTATTTGAGTTTTTCTATTAGTGAATACACCACTTCCATTCCTTTTTCTTTGAAGTTTTTAAATCTAATATACAACTTTGACCATTGTTATCATATTAAAATTTAGTAATAAAATTACAATGTCATAATTAATATAAATCCAATGACATAATCCTCATGGACACCGCCGTAGGGCCAATCGCCCCACCCTTGACATCACTGAAGCTCGATTCACACCACCGAAGTCGATATGGTGCCGTGGGAGGGGAATGGGATGGGAGGGGGCAAAGGGAGGTGGCTCCAATAGAGATAGAGGGGAAAGGTGTCGCCGGTGAAGGGAGAAAACGGCGGGTCTGAGAGGGGAGGAGAGGTGTCGCTATCGGAGAAGAGAGGAGAGACGATATTATCGTGGACGGAGATGGAGACGCATTGCACAGTAGGGGAGAGAGAGAGAGCACGCGATCGATCGATCCCGCACCCTGTAATCCTGTATGCGTGGGAGGGAGAGAAAAAGAAAGGGAAAAGGTAACACGTCTCCCTCAACCGTAAAACCGAGTGGCTGAGGGAAGCGATTCAATGAGAGCAAGCTATGGAGAGGCAACATAGACTTTTTTCCCAGGTTAAAACCAAACCTGGGCCGTGAGTAATGCTACAATCCTATACAGGCCCATATTTGAAATCAGTAAATTCTTATATTGGGCCGCTACCGACAGAAGCGGTCCCTACCAATCTTTCGCGTTTCTTCCCACAAATAGGCGCGCACCTTTTCCCTTTTCAAAATTTCTCCCCCCGAAAATTTCCATTTCGCGCTCCCTCGCCTCGTTCCCCTTCCACTTCCACTCCCAGATGCCGGCGAACCCCAAGCTCGCGGCGAAGCCCTCGCCGTCGCCGCCGACCGCCGCCGCAGCCGCCTCCCGGCCGAAAGCCACAGCCAAACCTCCCCTCGGTGCCGGATACCGCGACAACGACGACGACGACGACGATTTCCAGAGCCCTCCCCGTGCCAGCAGCCGCGCCGCCCGCGCGTTGAAGCCCTCCGGTAATGGCGCGGCCTCGCGCCGCCCCAGCAAGAGGTTGAAGCCGTCGTCCTCGTGTTGCTCCGGGAAGGAGAACCGTCCAGCCGCCGCCGGTAGTGGCAGGGCTCCCGCTGGGAGGGCCGCCTCGAAGGGCGCGGGGGTTGGCGAAACCCTAGGTGTCGTCTCGAGGGTTAGCAGCGGCGTTCCAGGCGGGGACAAAGCGAGGGGCGGAGGAATTTGCGGCCTATTGAGGTGCGGATCTGATGACTTTAGTTCAGTTTCTAATGGGAAGAAAGGATTGGATAGATATTGGCGTCGCGATGGAGGTTTGCATTCTCGCCCCAATCCGATGGATTCCACGGTTTCGATGCCGGATGCCACATGTGATTTGGAAAATGGGGGTTCTCAAGTGGCGCAAATGCTCAGCTCCAATGACCGTATCTCAGTTCAGTTGGAGGGGAACGCTAAGGTGGAGTTGGGAAAGTCTGAATCTGACCCTACGACTATGCGGAAGGAACGGAATGGCTCTGGGGCTTGTGAAAGTGATCATCCTGCAAGATTGATCGAGCCGAGGCTTCTGACATTGGTTACAAATTGTGATTTTGGAGGTGCAGACTCCATGGATTCAAAAGAGCTTGGTTCAGCGATTCATCCCTCTGTTTCCAAAGATAGGAATGTGGAGAACGAATCTGGGGGGGCATCTGTATGTACATTTGCACTTCATAACAGGAATTGCCACTCGAGTTGTGTTGAATCCGAACTTGAGATGTTGAATGCGAAGTATGATTTGGGTCCTCGTGATTGCAAGGAAAGCCAAGAGGGTCCGGGACTTTGTAGCTTGATTTCTGAAGAGAGGACAGTTGCGGCAGAAGGTGATGCAACTTTCACATTCGAGGAAAGGGGGAACACATCAAGTGGACTTGAGGCTTGTAAGGGGAGTCACTGCTTGGATCCAGTTGAACCAAAGCTTATGGACTCATGTGCAACACATGCACTTGAAGGTGATGGTTGTGATGATTTTGAGATCGGAACACAACTTAATGAGCTCATAAACTTGTGCATGGAGGATTACACGGAGGGTCCTTTGAGCAACAAGGTGGCTTGCCTTGAAGGGAATGGAATGGATTGTGGGAGTTTTAATTCATCTTGTGAAGTGCAATGCCCTTTGTGTGGATCAAATATTTCTGACTTAAGTGAAGAGCTCCGGCTGGTGCATACTAACAGTTGCCTTGATGGAGATAAACCTGCTAAGGTGATTCTTCTATGTATTTGGAAAATTAAAAATTGTTGTGATCTAGTGTAATGACCGTGATAATTATTGCTGCTGAATTGTTACCTTGTTAGAAAGCTCAAAGACAATCATATGGTAACCTTAGGCACAATTTTGCTTCTTGAAATTTCCCGGTTGGCCTTCAGTTATTCCTCTGCATGAGGATCATGTTAGTATGTTTATTCACTGGGTTCTAATCATTGTTGTGACGATTTTTGTGTGTCCATCATTAAGTTCTTATCTGGGACAATAGATGAATACATCTTACTACATAGTATATACTAATAGTATTCATTGTGAATATTTTGCATCAATAAGAATATATGATATTTTTGCGGGAATATAAGCAGTGGTGAACCTATGTAGTCCTACCCGGGGTCACTGGATCCCGGGTAGATGATTCAATCCTAGCTTAATTTATGCCGTGTTAACTAGTATATCACTCAATAATTAGATGATTAGTATGTATTGCCGTATTAGACCTCCATAATTTTTATTTTGGGTTTGCCACTGAATAAGAATATAAGATTGATGCTACCATACTATGGATACATTTCTAATTTCTATCCTTATAAAGTTTAGTTGAGAATGGAGACAATAGCAATTATATAATTCTTATGTTATTTAATAGTTTCCTTTTCCTTACTATGGAATCAACAAATTATCATATTTTAAGTTTTTTGAATTATCTCTGTTCCAGGAACCGAATTCCGATAACCAAAATGAACCCTGCGGTGAAAGCAATGTTGAAAAGAGGCGTGTTATGGAATGGTTAAGGAATCTGGGGCTATCCAAGTATGAGGAGATTTTTATCAAAGAAGAAGTTGACTGGGAAACCTTGCAATGGCTCACAGAAGAGGTAATTTCCTGTGGTTTTGTTGATATGGAGGTTTGTTTGTCAAGTATAGAGCTTAAGTTATGGGACCTACTTGTAAATTGGAGATTAACATTGACCATTTGCATAACTGCGTGGATTTCATGCTAGTTGATTTGTTCTAGTTAATGTGTCAAAAGATGCTCGCGTTCCTTCAACATCTTAGTTTTTTTTGGCATAACTGGTTGGTGCATCGATCTACACAGCTTTTCTGGTTTCCAATGAAAAAACTAACTTGTTGCTGCCTATGAATTGCAGGATCTTCTAGGTATGGGGATAACCTCTCTTGGTCCAAGAAAGAAAATTGCCCATGCTCTATGCGAGTTACGGAAGAAAAACAATGATGCCAATGATTTGGCTGCTGATATGTTAAATTTGGAGAATACCAAGAAGGCTAAAATTCCAATGAATGGAAACAAATTAATTACGGAGTACTTTCGGTGTCCATCATCTGATCAAAGACAAAAGAAAGCATGTAAAGTCAACACACCATCTAATTTGAATAGCCAGAAAAAATCCAATGCTAAGGCCACTGGTGGAAGGCGTACTGTTAAAGGAAAGGTTAAAGATACACCTATTTGGTGTTGTATCCCAGGGACCCCTTTTCGAGTGGTATGATTTGTTTTCAATAGGCTGAACCTTACATTATTCTTCGTATGCCATCAGGCTCCGTAACTGAATATATTGCTGCAGGATGCTTTTCGCTACTTGAGAGGAGATTGCTGCCACTGGTTTCTGACACACTTTCATGTAGACCGTAAGTCCAAGTTCTTTGTTATCGAAGAGTCAATACAAACTGAAGAACGAAAGAAATATATAAAGTGTTTCCTTGAGTTTCCATTAATGAAGACTTAGCCATTTTTTTTGTCTGACTTGCTATTGAATCATTTACTGCTACCTCCATCCCATAAAGACTTCATTTTTGGCTATTAACCTTGACAAAGACTTGTTGTCTAGGTTCATAGCCAGAAATGAGTCTTTTTGGGACAGAGGCAGTACATCAATTTGACATTCTAGCATACTACAAGAAGTGGCATGTTTGCATCTCATTGTTTGTTCCCTCTATCTTTAGCTGTACTTATCTAGTGAAATAATTAGTTTCCACTTTTCTTTCTTCGTGCTAGGCAGGTTTGCCTGATGTTTTAATATCTAAAACAAATGACTTTCTGTTCACAGATTACCAAGGCTTGACAAAAAGTTTTTGTCATGGGAAAATATATTGTTCATCAGTTACAGCTAATCTTGTACATTATAAGATTGGTATCCCATGGGATCGATTACATGTATTGCCACTCAATGAAAAGATTACTATCGCAGGAGTTAATTTAACATGTTTTGATGCCAATCATTGTCCTGGAGCAGTTATTATTCTCTTTGAGCCATCTAATGGTAAAGTAAGTGTTGTTCTAAGTTGCTTCATCATCTATTCAGCATAACTACTTAACATGCCATGTTTCTTTACTTGCTCTTTTAGGCTGTTCTACACACTGGAGATTTCCGGTTTTCTTCTGAGATGGCAAACAATCGTGTTTTGCAGTCTTCTCCTATCCACACTCTAATACTTGACACAACCTACTGTAATCCACGAGTATGTTTATCGCCTAGCTGTATCAGAAGTGTTTCCCAAGTTTATAATTGACATGGTCAGGCTATCATGTGGCCTTTACATAATCCAAAAAAAAATGTTTTGCAGTACGACTTCCCAACTCAAGAGATTGTAATACAGTTTGTTATCGAGGCTATCCAAGCTGAAGCTTTCAATCCAAAGACACTTTTTTTGATTGGCAGCTATACAATTGGTACTGTCTCTGTGTCTCATCTTTGATATTCTGGATATTGTAGTGGGTATATACATAAATCGTTCATGGATGCAGGTAAAGAAAGACTGTATATGGAGGTTGCTCGTTTGCTTCAGAAGAAAATATATGTTGGAGCTGCAAAGTTGCAAATATTAAAGCACTTGGGGCTTCCTCAGGAAATCATGCACTGGTTTACAGCCAATGAAGCTGAAAGTCACATACATGTTGTTCCTATGTGGACTCTGGCAAGCTTCAAGCGGATGAAGTATTTGTCCACTCAATATGCTGTAAGAAAAGTACTTGATCCTACCTTCGTTTGTAAGATAGGGGTTTTAGCTTGTTTGATATGTCCCTATTAATCTGATGAGTTAATTTAAGAAAATCATGGTCTTTAAAGTTGAAGTTGCTATTTCTACTCCACCTAAGGATAAGGACTAAGATCTGAGCATCAGAGCATATATTTGTAATCTGGCTCTTTAAAATTCTGGATTGATACAATACCTCTGTGTTCCTTTTCTAATGATTAGTCACATTCTTTTGGACTAACTAGCTAAAGCTGAGACCTTGTTCTAAACCTGAATATCCGTGCATTAGTCTTCATATGTTCTGTTTGCTTCTGAAGTTGCCATTTATTCTGATTTTCTGATGGCTATATTACTTACAGGATCGGTTTGACCTTATAGTTGCATTTTGTCCAACTGGTTGGTCATTTGGTAAAGGGAAGAAAAGGACACCAGGCAGAAAATGGCAACAAGGAGCAATAATCAGGTACCATCCTAGAAGATCTTAGTTGACACTTCTCACGCTATATGCCAGAAGGAAATAGAGAGACATTTAACATAGTTCTTTGCTGTTTGCGCATAAAAAGTGTAGTTGTCTTATTTATAATTCTGGGATTTGGTTCAGTACTCCTTTATTTAGTCGAAAACCCGTAGTTCTAACTGCCATGAGCTGAATTTTCACGCTAACTGCCTGTTAACATATCCATCCGTTTTAACATAAATACTAGTTAGGCAGAAAGAATTGTGTTTATAACAACTGTGACAGGTTGAGTATTTCCCTTTTGCCGATGTGCATTGAGTTATCGATCAGTTTTGAAGTTTCTCCATTTCTTTGTCTCTACAGATATGAAGTGCCCTACAGTGAACATAGCAGCTTCACAGAACTCCGGGAGTTTGTTAGGTTCATCTCACCAGAGCACATAATTCCTAGTGTAAACAATGATGGCCCTGATAGTGCAAATGCCATGCTGGCCCAATTGTTGAATGATTAGCAAATCCTACATTCCATTTCCAGTCTGGTTGCTATCAATACACATTGCTTCAAAATCACGTCAAGAAGAGTTGGACATCGACATACAGGTTAATGATCAGGAATTAGCTGAGGGGAAATCTGTAACATCTCCGGGTCTCAGTTTTCCTTTGATGATGCCAAAGTCGTCATGCAGGATGCCAGGATACAGGTCGTACTTCGTTTTCAGATAAGTAAAAATTCTGGATGACAGATTGGTTGCAAGGCTATTGCTTCCTGGAAAAGCTGGAGAAACTCTGGTCTTTGGACATCGTTGTGAAATTTTCAGGAGAAGGGTTCATGCTTATTTTCATCAGTAGAGTTCTCAAGTTTCAACACGGGCTGGTGTTCCTTAACAAGCGCAAGCCTTATTTTTTTCTAAGTATTCTCATGGGCTTTAGCCTTCCGCTTAGCTGTAGCAAGTGGCAAGTAGCAACCCTTTTCTGTCTGCGCATAATTTCTCAAGAATTCTCAATCCACATTTGTACAGCAATGACTTTTGAAACTTGATTTTATTTTTCTTCCAAAGAAACACTTGCGGATAAATAGTCCCATCGGTTTGTCTGTAGCCGTAACGTTTATTAGCGACAACAAATTATGTGCGAAAAACTTTTATATACAACCTCCTTATAATAGATGACGCCGTTGATTTTTAATTATTTGTTTTATTCTAAAATTTATTTAATTATAATTTATTTTGTTGTGAGTTGTTTTATCATTCAAAGTACTTTAAACATGAATTATATCTTATATATTTGCATAAATTTTTTGAATGAAACGAATGCTCAAACATATGTTTTAAAGTTAACGGTATCATCTATTAAAAGACGGAGGGTGTAAGTGTTTTTAACGACTTAAAAGTCAAATATAAAAAATAATCAACAATAAAAAACCATTAAAAACAACTCTAACAATCTAGATTTAAAACTTAGGCCCCCTTTGATTCAAAGGAAATTCATAGGAATTTTAGAGGATTTTATTCCTATAGGAATTTTTCCTAGAAAGCCCTTTGAATCAAAGGAATAAACACTATGGAATCCTATGAAATTGCTATGGAATGCCTCTTCCCATACAAGTTTTGGAGGAATTTTGAACCTCATGGAAGAAATCCGAAGAAATCCTTTGAGTCTCGTCGAAACATGAATTCGGCAATAATAAAAGGGGTAGTGCACGAGACCTAAAAGTGGATGGATGCAGAGACAAAGGATTAGACAGGTTCAGGCCCTCTCGATGAGAGGTAATACCCTATTCCTGTTTGAGGATTTTAATCCGCCGGGTGTATTATAGATCTGACGAGATCTAGTTGTCTCATGCCCCCTAGAGGGCCTCCTGCCCACCTTATATAGGATGTGGGGCAGGATTACAAGATAGAAACCTTAACCAATACGGTATCGGTTTCCTAAATCTATTTTACAATATTATCAAATCAGGACTTTAGGCCGCTCCATAATATAAAAGGAAACGTAATACCCAAGTCATGATCTGTTACATATTCTACAGATATAAGCTATCCCCTATGACTAGTCGATAACCATGCCGTGTGGGTATGGGGTACCCATAATCTCCATAGTAGCCCCTGAGACCTTCACAGTCGGAAAGATAATCTTCTCTCGAACTAGATTACTCCAAAGCCGAGTGCTTCAATCATCTTCGCCATGATCTCCCGAGTACTTTTACCAAATATGAAGACTGTGGAGGGCTGAAAAATAAAGTCAGGTGCATCGAATAGATGCACCTAATAGGTGTAGCCCCCGACTATGTGGTTAGCTGAACAAACTAAGCATATAGTCAAGGAATAAATAATCCAACCAACTGAGTGGTTTTTGACAATTATAGTCAACCAGGTGACTTGATACCAATATATAGCATATGCGGTATGAATCCCCGAATAATATGATCCAGGTGATATACCGACTGCTTTGGAGAATATGATGCGTGCAACCTAAAGTTGACAACATCTTTGAAAATTCACATAGCAAAATAGCTATAAAGAAGAGCTTGATGTTGTGAATAAAGAAATTTTCAAAGTATTGGGCATACACCATGCGCACACTGCTTTAACAGATGTGCTTAAGTCCCTAAAAGACATATGGTTTCACCACACCTGGAAATATATGGCATATGTGGTGTAACATCCGAGTAAATAAACTCATAAGGATTTATCAACCGTCTGGAAAATGACCAAAATATATAATCAGCCTAAGCCATAATATTGGTCAATAAAAATGCACACTTACGTGGCAAAAAACAATGATATTGTATTTAATCAATCGCTTTATAAACCCAAACAATGCCTTGACTATATATAAAAAAGTCAGTGAGGCAGCTATGAAAAACTTCACTGTTGGGCACCTTTTAAAATGCATTGTACCAACTCCTAAAAAGTTGAGTAACTGCGGTATAAAAGGATTTTAAGGTATTGGGCACTTGATCACGCGCACTTTGGCCTAAGCAAAAAGTGCCTAAGTCCCTAAAAGAACGTGACAGGCCACACCTGAAAATATGGGCTGCAGACATATTAGGCCTAGGCCAAAAAATATGCCTTCGGCACCCTTTAAAGGATGACGCATGTAACATGCTCCCGAGTAATAAATCTTCCGGGTGATATAGACCAAGTGTAGCTCATATGAATAGCTTATGGTCTGAGTGATTATCCCTTATGGGATACTCCAAAATAGATATAATAATTGAATCCCGACTGGCGCAAGTATTCGGTTGATAGCCCTTACGGGGAATAATAAATAGTCCAGTCTTTGAGCATAGAAAAATAGACTCATGACTATGAATCCATATTGAATGTATCCGGAACAAGTCCAAATTGGAGATATAATCCTCACGCTTGAGTTGATGAGCCCCTGAGCATATAGCTTGTCCTTCTGTCATAGTCAAAATTGTCCATTGGCAATAGCTGATGCAGTCGATATGAAAGCAAGATGACTAATATGGAGATGAACCCATCAAAGCTGATGAAGATGTTGATGGTGGTAAAGACAATGATACCAATCAAAGGTGATGAAGTCGCATAGCCGTGGATGCGAAGAAACCAGTCGGCAGCAGACAAGTCAGCCAGCAGTGAAGATGAAGGTGTCCAACAACAGCGACAAAATCGTGCAGCCATGGTGGCGAAATAATCAGTCGGTGACAGACGAGCCAATAGTCGGTGACGATGAGAACAAGCCAATGATGAAGATGTAGACGCGCATCAACGACGATGGCGAAATCCTCCAATCATGAAAATACAGGAAACAATCGACGACAACAAATGCAACCGGTGGTAATGACGATTGGCAGCAATAGAGATGATCAAATATGATGACGAAGTTGCCCATCAATAGCAGTGTAGCAGCCAATGATAACGATGAAGCCCTCTATTGGCAGTTGCATAGTAGGCCCACCGTGAAGATGAAATAACAAGTCGGTGATAACAAAAGCAACCGAAGGCGAAGACGTAGTCACCCCTTAGCAACGGTGGAGACGTCAGGGCCGATGAAGCAGAGGTGTTGGTGATGATGTCAGTGATAATAATCCATCAAACTGTTGAGAAGATATCAAAGCTCGAGTAATTTCCTTGATGCGAAGATTGATGCAACGCCCTTTGATTTGTAAAGATGGCAATAGAACTTGGTGCTATAGCTGTTGCAGATGCTTCACTTGGAGGAAAGTAGATGTTGTTGACCAACTCGTCGAATCTGAGTTGATTGGTTGATAACTCTAAACTCCCGGACATGTAGATTAAATCTCAAACTTGAGAAATTTGGAGTAGATTGTGGCGGCATGAAGAAGCCAAAATTGTCGGTGTAATAATTGGAGTCGCTGAAATTAAATGTCGGTTCTGAAGCGAAGATGAAGATAATGACTCCCCGAGTTGACTCGTTGATTGATTGATTGCTTCATCTTGACATAAAGCTTGTCGAATTTTGAGAGTCTTTTATTTGTGTAGCCCCCGACTCTTTGGTTAGTTGAGAAACAACTGAACATAGAGTCGAGAACTGTAGCTTGTCGTCGAGTGGCCATCACTTGAGTGAAGATACATGTTGAAGATGTCCGAGTAGAAATCGGTGCCGAAGACAATGAAGATGAAGTAGCTCCACCATGGTAACAAAGTTGCATAGCCGTGATGAAGTGAACACGAGTCGGCGGCAACGGAAGCAAACCGGTAGCGAAGACGCGTAGTTGTGAAGATAAAAACATCAGTCGGCGGCGACTTAACCAGTCGACGACGGAAGACGATGACGTCCATCAATAGTGGTAGCGGTATAAACCAGACGTAGAGGCGAGTGCACTAGTCAGCTGCAGACGAGATGACCGACGGTGAAGACGATAAGGCCAATCAACACTAGCAAAATCATGCAGCCATGGAAGTGAAGAAACCAGTCGGCAGCAGATGTAGACAGCTTGTGTTGAAGATGATGACGCTTATTAGCGATGGCGGCGACGTGGCCAGCCGTGAAGACGATAGCGCCAATTGGCGTCATACGAAGCGGCCGGTCGGTGAAGATGTAGACGTCCAACAACGGCAGCATAATAGGTCAGTCGTGCAGCGGAGACACCAGTCGGCGGCGGACAAGGCGGCCGGTTGGTGAAGGTGTAGACGCCCAACAACAGCGGCATAGTAGGCCAGCCGTGCAAGCGGAGACACCAGTTGGCGGCGGCGAAGGCAAGCCGGTCGGTGAAGACGTAGATGCCCAACAACGGCGGTGTGACCACCTGACCGTATAAGCGAGGATACCAGTCGGCGGTGGACAAGGCGGCCGGTTGGTGAAGGTGTAGACGCCCAACAACAACGGTGTGACCACCCAACCGTATAGGCGAGGACACCAGTCAGCGGCGATGACAACAAGCCGATGGTGATGTTCTGACTGATCCATTCCTAGAGCGTAAGAGATAAGCTTATAGCCATGAATCCCTTTTATGCATATCTGGATCTGGATCCTACAGAACAAACATATAGGATGAGTAGTATCTGATGTAAATACAGTACTTGAGAAAAATTCAAGTATTTTAAAATATTTATAAATATGTATTTCTCCTCTTGTCAATTTTGATTTCCCCGAGCAGATGACTCTGTACGTTTAAACACTCTGTCCGACTAGTTATAGCCCTCAAGCATCGGGAGTCGGCTTAGGCACTTCCCAAACATGCATATGAGTGACATGAGTTCGTCATTTATGGAACAAAGTTTCACGAATCAGAATTTACTACTCGGGTACTTTTACAATTGTTAAGAGTAGAAAATAAATTATCTTTTCTCTATGCTTTTGATTTCTTCTGAGTAATACTTAGCACCTTGCGTCACTCGGTCCATCCAACGAGCCTCCGCGTGGTAGGAATCGGCCCAAAGGCAACTATTTATTGGCAAACCAAACGGAAAGCATAGTAAGATGGAACTCCATGACTCGATAGGCACTTTTGTACTCAGATTATGTCGCAGGCAATCAAGATAAATATTTTATAAAAATTGTTTAAAAAATATGATATAACATCTGTAGCCCCCGACTCACTAGTCAACGGTGAACCAGTTGACATAGTGAGGCAGAGGAAAAAGAAAATATCATAAAAAGAAAATTA